ATTACAGCACTGCGTACACCCCACTGCCTTGCCTGCGCATCCAAATCCTTGATAAACACACTAGTCTGCACAACAAATCCCTGTCTAAAACCCACAGCTGGAAAAGAAAAGAGGGGCGTTATCCACCTCACTGAGCATAATAATCTGTACCTATTATTATGCAACTCAGAGTACTGTCAAAGTGAGAAACTTTCACAGGAGATTAAATTTCGCTGTTTTCGCGACCATCACACATTCGCGAATATAAATAGCCGTAAACTTCTCCGTACATTGATTGTAGACAGTACAAGATCCGGCTGAAGAGATAGAATCGCAAACGTTTCTCATCGTGAACCAGCCCAATTTAGGATAACGCTAAATTTGTGTGCAGTGAAAGTTTATCGCTTTACAGCAAGTAAAACAGCTGCCGTAATGTCACGTATAAAGGCAGGTACTTACGGCCGTATAAGCCGGGGTTCAAACCATGCTTCTATTCAAAGTATGCTTCTACGTCAAAACATGCTTCTACGTCACCATCATCAGTCTACACTGCCAGTCTGCAAAGTGCATACTGCCATGCAAATGCAGTGCAAGTACCTGCACGTGGTTTTAACAAAAGTGCGGCTCCTGTTCAAAATTGTGCATCTGTGTCATGGCGCACTTCGAAAAATTGGCTTGTACTCGAGTCACACTTTACAGGTCATCCTTTTGTTCAAGTCATGCTTTTATACGCCAAATCACGATACCTATTTTACTTGACGGGAGCTACCACCCAAATCCAATTGTCTGATTCGGTGCCTAGCCTAGAAGTGGGTGACGTGAGGTTGGGGGCCCAAGGGGGGGGGGGGCATGTCCCCCCCCCCCCACCACAACACCAGCCCGACATGGCAGTACTGAGAGGGCACGGAAGACGCGCCTCTCCTAGCATAGTCACAGCAGATCTATTTTCTACATACTGTAAAAACAGAAATTTTCGGTGGTGTAATATTTTCGGTATTCTCCAAAATCGGCGGTTCGGTGGAGAGAAATTATCGGTAAACCCGCTTTGCAGGATAAAACACCACCGAAAATGTCTGCTCTTACAGTACATTGTGCCAGCGAATCAGGGTATTTCCCACAACAATGGTCTGTGCACGGCTTTATCAGTCTCTGTAGACAGGTGGTCACGTACTGTCGTGGACATGGAAATCCGGTCGTACGTCTAGCGGCCCCAGGGCGCTGGTCATGCAGCCGTGAGTAAGCGGTATGCACACATTCATTTATGCGCTGCAGGGTGCTGGTCGCATCGGTCAACCTGATTGTGCACTACATGCAACGTTCTGAGGGCACCGGCCCCGGTTATTCGACCGGATTTCCATGTCCACGACACAGTACAGCACATAGGTAGTCTCTAGGCCGTGGAACCTGCCAACATGACCGGCCAGGGTTGGATGTGTGCCGTCTTACGGGACAAACAATTGCCACTCACACGAAAATCTGACAAGTCAGGAAACAGTCCCTGAGTGATGCCCAAACATTCGTGCTAAGTGAGCTAGATGATTATTGTACTTTTGAAGTACTGGAAATTCACAAATTTTCCGTGTACAGTCAGTATCGCCTATAGCGTTGCTGTTTGATTTTGAGCATTTTATCACAATAAGCGATATATTACTATGACCGATACTGCATGCAATGTATGCGAGTGGGGTGTCAAACGACTCAGCGCGCCGTGCACATATGCACTACATACATGTACAATGTCATGTAGCTGGCTGTAGCTCCTGACACACAAAATCAGCATTTCCTCATGATAGAGGCATATTTTGGCAACTTATACAAGCAAAACTCACCAAACAACACTCACTGGACAAGTTCTTCACGAAGAAGTAACACCCTGTTCTCCTCTGACATCGCTTGATGTTACATCAATCACTATAACCGATGCAAAAATAGTGTAATAAACGTCTTTTGAAATATGAATTTGATCACTATAGGCGATATATGGCCCAGTATCAGCGAGAATCGACCTTCGGGTGAAAATCATTTTTTTCAGAATAAGTGATTTTCTGGAACGGCAAAAAACTCTTGCTTCGCGCTCTGCACATTCAAACAAAAAATTAGTTCATCGCAACAATGAATGCTTTTGATTGTCCCAGTAGCAGGAGAGTTCGCTCACGAGTCACGATGGCCAGCTAGTTGCCGTCCGGCTCTGCCAGAAGTCATTGGATTTCCTAGGCAGGAATCGTCGCGTCTGATAGAGAAAAACGACAGTTTCCAGAATATGTTTTTGTGACATTTTGTCGACGCGCAATTCTTATTTAGCGACGAGAATTTCAACTTGACTTAGGCGCTCCGCCAAAGGAGCTCTCTGCTGGCAAAAGTACTTTCTGACATCTGAAAATCCTTGTAGGGTCCTTCTGAATTTAGTACAGCTCCGCTCAGGAGAAATACTCAACGAGGAGAAACTAGTGAGGCGACGGCAACAGAGGTTGTCGAACTGAAACGCCCTGGATCAACTCGAGTCAGGACGAAAGAGCCCTGCCGCTAGTGACATGATCTGAATTTTCCCAGGCTCCCACACTGGACTCCGTGGTGAACACCAAACCCCTTGGACGGGGCAAGAGCTGAACATTGATTGATGAGCTACGAACTCTCTGCGCTCAGTGCTGGAATCATGGCGCACTGACGCGCATGCCGCCAGTTCCCACAGAGCTCAAATTTCACAGAGGTGCAGCAGTGATGGACTACCTCTAAATCGTGTATGAGATGAAGTGTGGGGTGTTAGAAAGTTGTTCCTGTGTCGTATTCCCTGTGGGATGCACAGACTGGGACTCCAGGTGTAGTTGTAGCCACCCTCCCTCCTGTTCTGCACTTCTGTGGATTTTCAGCAGACTTGGAATGGCGTTCAAACAGTTTTCATTGGTATGCAGTGATGAGGATCAAGGCCATCCATGCTCTATGCCAGAGGTTGCTCAAGAGTTATTTTACAACAAAAATTGGATGGATGATTTATTACACTATTTTTTATTTATTTCACTGTAACAATCGTATTCCGATGTGGAAAACACTGTGATAAATTGTTATATTTCCTGATATGTACCTATGCTTGTTTGAGAAGCTTCTGGGTCATCAATATTGCTTTGTTTGGTCTAATACTTTGCCATGTGATCACTAGATACCTATAGATGATAACAGCAGAAAAAAGTCATTTTGTGAAAAATCACCCTAAGGTCCATTTCCGCAGATACTGGGCCATATTACTATAGACGATTATTACTATATGCGATAACTGTGTATACTTAGTTATGGGAAATGAAAATGAATTAGAGAAATTGATCACTATATGCGGTATATTACTATAGCCGCCGCCAACCTTATAGGCCATACCAACTATACATGTACTTCTATTCAGTTCCGTGCTTTCCGTGCGTCTGTTTCATACCTAAAATTTCAATACACCGAACAAACACTAACACACACACACACACACACACACACACACACGCAATCCAATAGGGAACTGCTTCTCTGTACATGTAACTAAAATTTCTGTTCACCTAGCATGGCCCATCGCTTAGGAGCTGCATCTGCGCCTTGATCCAAGAGGGTGGTGGCGTTCCTGCGGATGCGGAAAACTGGGCCTTCGGCCGAGTCTCACGCGAACCGTGAAATTTTTTTTAGCATGGCCTTTTGGCCTCATACCGAAAAAATTGAGCACCCAAATTGAGCACCCAATTGAGCACCCAAATTGAGCACCCAAATTGAGCACCCAAATTGAGCACCCAATTGAGCACCCAATTGAGCACCCAATTGAGCACCCAATTGAGCACCCAATTGAGCACGCAAATTTTCTGAAATTAGAGTACATATACTGGCAAGTACTGACTTACCGCTGTAACGATACTCACTGAGACTTGGGCGTGCAATACAGACTCTGAGACAGTCAGGCAACGGTCTAGCAAACCAAATCTCCCTCAAAACCAGCAGTGACGGTGTCCATGGCCGCATAGCGTCCACATGGTCCGCTCGCAGTCACTGTCATACTGTCATACGTGTGGTACGGACAAACCCTCTCTCTCTCTCCATCACTTCTACCTGTAAGATTTACATGTACCTGGCATCGCTCAAACTATTGTATTACTTTGTCTCGGACGTCAAAACATACAATGAAGTCAGACTCAGTCTGGATCAGTTCTACTGTAGTACTAGCAGTAGTAGATCGGTCATGTCACAAAAATTAATGTATCTGTCAAATTGAATACTTTTCCTGGGCCGTCTCCATGCGTACGACCGAGCACCTTCGACAACTCTGTGGCTAGGTACTATCCGAAGCCCTACAGGTACTTCTGTTTGAAAATTCAACACCGGCTTCAACATTCCCTAGCTAGCGCTCAGCCTCTAACTAACTAACTAATTACTTGGCTTTCCAGCTCTACACGAAGTAAAATGTCAGCATCAATTTTTTTTCAGCTTTTCTGAAATCGAACAAAATGCATCTACATGTATTCTAAATCTACTTCCACCGTAGACTCTACTCGTACTCGACCGTCGCTAGCGCGCTTCGCACCAGGCCTGATACGTGTACTACTCCCTGCTCCGCACTGACTGTCACTGTGTCAGTCTGTGCTCGAGGTGTTACTGTTAGCACTTCGCACCTGGTATCAACATCACCATGACATACAGTAAAACCTGTCAAGGCGACCACTCGGATAAGGCGACCACCTGTCCCAGAAGACCACTGGAACCAGAACCAAGGCGGCAAGGGATGTTATTTGCAGTCAAAATGACCTTGGATAAGGAGACCACCTGGTGACGGTGACCACGTTTTGAAGGTCCCTTGAGAGGTCGTCTTAGACAGGTTCCACTGTAATTGTACAGTAGCAGTAGCAGTGTCAGACGTTCGTGTTGGTAACCTTGGTAACGGTCAGGGAGTGGTGCACGTCTCCTTTTTGAGGAGTTGCCGACCGGAAACATTCAAACAAGCCTATTTTTTGTTTTGGCCTTAGCATAACTACTACACGTACTAGTACAATCGCGCAAGGTTGACGGGCCCGTCTTCCCCCCAGATGAAACAGATGAAACAAGATGAAACGAGATGAAACGAGATGAAACAAGATGAAACGCCAAGTACGGGCGCAGATGGGGCCGAGATGAAACGAAATGAAACAAAATGAAACAAAATGAAACAAAATGAAACAAGATGAAACAAGATGAAACCAAAATGAAACTCGAAGTACGGGCGTAGATGGGCCGCGAATGAAACAAGATGAAACAAGATGAAACAATGTATGGGCGTAGATGGGGCGCACGCGACCATGTACCACGCGTGCACGAGCGAAAAGAACTGAATCCAATCATTGAAATAATTTTGTTTGCAGAGGCAATTCGCGCAAGGGAGGGATAGCAATTTGATGGCTTGCGAGTGACAGCACGAGCCGAATTTATTGCCCGTGGAAGTACCCACGATAGAAATACACTGTTGGGAACATGGTGGCGCCGCTGACGGTACCTATGTAAGTGGAGTTACTTTATTGGAAGTACCCACGACGGGGAAAATAGTCTCTCTAGTATTGTCGGTGAATGGCGATGGTGGTGGTGGCGATGGCTACTTTCCTCTGCTCAGAGAGAACCCCTGCATGTCCTTCGTCGTGATGCGAAAGAGCAGTGGATGCAGGTAAAGGCCGTGTCAGAGAATTTCGCCTAGTGCTGTGGCCAGGGTGAAAATAAATTAGGGCTGAAACGATCATTCAATAACTCCAAGCGATCAACCAATCTCTTTAGCGATGAATATCATTGTAACATAGAAAAATGTGGGCACAAGTTATGCAATCGAGTCCTCCAACTAAACCAGATTTCGAATAGTCAGACGTGCACAAGGCTAGCACAAAACTGACAAGGAGTATGAGTACTGAGACATTGAGATCAATTATAATTGTTGGTTCATAATTATAGATTCTTTCCGGCTGTAGTCGTGCACCTCGAACACAAGACTATGAAGAAATTCCATGATGCCTTTGCTACATTAGCTGTGGCCACCAGTCAAACACTCTAAATATACCCAGGCTACCGCTCAGTGTTTGGTATTCTGTAAACATTTCAAGCAATTGTGTCGACACCTGTAGACATCTGACTGGTCTAAAGCCTAGTTCACATTCGACGTAACACTGACGGTACAGGACGTAAGGGCCTGTCGGGACGGCTGGGGTGAGCTGTAAAATCTTTTACGATTCGTACGACACGACATGCTGCAGTCGTTGCGATGTTCTCCAGCGAACGGCGCGAGTCATAAGGCACAGTCCGTGACGGGGTGACTTTCGGACCTAATTTCTTGTTTTTCGGGACTTCTTTTCAATTATTTCTCCTTGAATGAAGCGAAATCAAATTCACAATACCAGTTTTTCGTGGAGACAAAAAGTAGCCCTGAAAGTTGTGCCATTCGAATAGTAGCCCTAGGAAATGATAAAACAGTTCATCTGTCATTCTCCTAAACTATCCCTAAATACCATAAGTGACATGAGATCTTATCTTGCTAAAATTCAACTCAAGTCGTGTTAGCCATTCTGCGAGTTATCATGGGAAGCGCAGTGTTCGAAATCCTAAAAATGTCCTAGTACGAATCGGGGGTGGATGGCGCACGATGCCGCCTCCTGTTCTCACTCAAAATGCAGCCGTTTTGTACGCTTGCGTCTCCGTCTATGCCCGTCTACGGTATGAAAAGTTGAACTGATCCAACACTTCCCGTCGCTTCCCGATCCGTACGGTAGTATGGTTGCGTTCCCGTTCCTGGTGTTCACATTGGACGCCGTCAGACCGTCCTGTCGCTTCCCATCGATCCTTACGCCGCGTCCCGTCGAATTTGAACTAGGCTTTATCAATATGAACTAGAGGAGTTCATGTTGTTGTTTCTAGAACGAAGAATCAGGCTTGTCGTCACCCTTTGGCTTGAAGCTCTTATCACCAACTTCCGCAACGAATCAATCGAAAAGATACCGTCTTGACTCCCGATCTCTTTCATAGCCACGCATCAATATTACTGCGCTTGAAAGTACACGATTGCACTCGTATCCACAATTGGATGGAGTGCAAGGGCTAGAATACTGCCACTGGTATGCATGCATAAAAAATCGTTTGCATTCGCTTTGAACACTAACGATTATCGATTGCGCTCTTAAAACGATCGGTTTGCGAGTTATCTGTATACTTGTTTCAGCCCTAAATGCATTGCCCTCGTAGAGGACAGGGATGTGAGTACTGATGTGCCTTTCGTCCTCATATTTTACAGAGAAGACGTCTGCCCCCAATAATAAAATTAATGTAGTAATGATAATGTGTTGCCCTTTCATCTTCTCAGGAGCCCTGTGCTTTTGCCTCTTCTCCCCTGGACTGAATGGACTGGACGCTCTGTCCAGTAGTGTCCAGTAAATGATTTGTAGTGTAAGTTAGGGTGCACTCTCTCTTGAGGATTTGCCCACCTTGATGATTGTGCTCTTCGTGTTATTAGAAAATGTCTCTACCTGCCAGGATGGTATAAGAGCACGAACTGAATCACCTGTTGGTGCAGAAGGCTTGGAGGACTACTTTTGAAACAGTTGTTCAAATTTCCTGCACCTCTTTGTAGCCGTTGTCTGATTTCTGCATTCTGGGGAGACTGAAGTTAAGGTTAGTGAAGCTGCACAGTCCCCGTGGAAATGTTTATGCTGCAACTATTTACTGCTGACATGTATTTATGTATTTCAGGAATCTCCAGAGGGTGAAGGCTTGCTGCAAGCTCCGTCCCTTCAATGTCGTGATACATCCGTAGATCAGTCGTGTGCCTGTCCTGTGCTTTTATGAGCATGCTCCTTTGCACATGCCTTTGTCCTGTGCATGCGCGGGCGTGGGCGCGCGCGTGTGTGTGTGTGTGTGTGTACGCCAACGACACCGTCCGTGCACATGTGCATGGACGTGAGTTTGTGCGTTTGCCTTTGTTATATGCATACAGTATTATCAATTTATCATGCCTATACAAGCCTTGCCAGTGTCTCGATAGGAGAAGCAGATACATGATTACACCACTTGGGTTTTGACCTTCTTTGGCCGGGGCGAATGTCGAAGGAAAGACTCCCTCTGGGCCAAGGTGTTGGCGACAGTTGAGAGTTGTCCTCTATTTTGCAGCGGGGGACAGCATGGCATATTTGGTGCCGGAAAGAGTGCAGTTGCACTTTTCATGTTACTGTAAAATTTGCTAGGTCACTCCCTTGAAGCTGGAGACTGCTGATACTGCTGCTCAAACGGCTGCTGCTGTTACTCTCTGCTGCTACCATGGTCGTTGCTTTGTATCAATGGCGAAAATTCTCAGATGAGCTTTGGGTCCGGGCACTAGAACCCTGCTGCTGCCTCTGCAGCAGTTGTAGAAAGTTTTATAATACCAGTGTCGATGGTGAACTTCTGCTCTTTTTTTTATCCCAGACACTTTGTGCTCAAGAGACTGTTAGGTCTTTGTGGTGTTGTCGTTGCTGTTTGGTTATACTAGTTGGCGTCTGTTTGGAAATATATTGTGCTTTTCTGTGTGTTCATGTGAACGTAGAAGCCCTCACCGAAACCAACACTACGTTGCTGTGTTGTTTTCTTCCAAGGTCGGGCACAGTAAAGGAGACGACTCTGTGAGTATATTCGCAGATGAACTTTGGGTTAACAGAATGCAGGTGCTGCTGCTCTTGTGCCGGGCTGTTGGTGTCAATGATGGGGTGGATCATGCTTTCTCTTTATATACCTTTTGTATATTTGTGTGTAAGTAGGAGCACATACCAACACGTAATCTTTCTAAAGCCTAGTTCTCTTTCGACGCAACGCTGACGGTACGGGACGTAAGGGCCTGTGACGGCTGGGGTGAGCTGTAAAATCTTGTACAATTCGTACGACACGACATGCTCCAGTCTTTGCGATGTTCAACAGCGAATGGTGCGAGTCATAAGGCACAGTCCGTGACGGGGTGACCGTCCCGGCGTTTCCCGTCGATCCTTATGTCGCGTCCCGTTGCGCCCCGTCGAATGTGAACTGGGCTTAACAATGGCATGGAGACAGTTTCAATTGCAGTTTAATGTTACTGCACTGCACTGCAGGTATCAAGGCACTACCCAGAGGGAGGATGTTGGCCTTCTCCTGATGGGAAAATGTCTTCTTTCTCATGGCGTGGCCAGGACTGCACTGACCCTACCATCCACTCTACCTCTCCGGAAAGGGACTTGACAACCAGTCAAGATGGATGTGCAGAGATATACCAGCGGTAAGTCACATGCTTAGGATATCCACTTGATGAAGGAAGGACAGGTGCTCAACTACTACACCAAAATGTGAGCATAAGGAGATGGGCTGATGGGTCATGGATGGGTGACAGGTCTTTGCCCGGTTGCTGGAGTATAACAACCTGGGTCTTTGATTGGTTTAGAAGCGGTCCGCTCTATTCGGGGTGCCATCCTCAATTAGACGGGCAGTGAAGATCTTGCAGGATCAATCGCACATGTAGAATATGGACATGTGGATGCGGGCAGCAGATCTGTAATTTCCAGTATCAAAGTTCAGTTGTATTTGCTTTTCTTTATTTTCTATTTGTGATGTTGTTCACTGCAGCTTCTAGCATTAACTGCCAATTTGCACTGACGCAGCAAGACTCCCAACAGTCAAGTATGTTTCATTGCATGCACTAGGATTACAGTAGAATGCCGATTATCCGAATGTCAACTGTCCAAACGGTCAATTATCCGAAATTCCTGTTTGCACTGAATTCAATTCAATAAGTCGACTTATACCGGTAAAATATGGTAACAGCGGGACTGTAGGGTGTGGCATTTCCATGATACAGTGGAAAATTTCACGATTTTTGGTGCAAACATAGCTCGGACGCTGCTCGATTGGATATACAATGCAGGTTCTTGGAACCACGGACACGACTCTTCGATTCAAGGATCACAACACTTCGGGATCTGAACGTTTTAGGTCCGGGAGCTGTTCGCGGTTTTGTCGCTTGTCACGGTTGTGGACTCATCGTTGTAGCATAAATGAGGCTGGACTATTCCAAGCGAAAAACTAAAATATTTCCTTCTCAAAGCACAATCACCGGCCCGGAGGAGCACACCTTCTCTAACTACATACCGGGTGCAGTACATGACACGTCCGTGTATTGACTAGTCTCTTGTACATTAATTTTAGATCTACCACACGACTCGCGTAGCGCTAGCACAGCAGTGCGGGTGTAGTCATGTACTACTACTACTACAGTACTGCCGGGCGCCGATGAACGGCCAGGCTATGATTTCGCTATTTTTTAAGAACGGTCTAGGTAGAAACGTGATGTACAATATGAATATGATGTACACTCAGACGTATAACTCTGCATAAATGTACATGTAAGACTGTACCATCGAATATGAACGAAACTGCTGTGTTCGCCAAAAATAAGAACGGGCTAGGCTAGAACCCTGACCCCGTTCTTCGGCGCCCGGCAGTACTGCAGTGTAATGTTCCGTATGTAAAAAAATTGTTTGTTGACTATGGCATGCACGCAGAAGCCAGCGGATGTAAAAAGTCCAACTCGGAAACGGCTAAAAACGGGGTATCCTCAAATTTTGCCGAGCTGAAAATCACAGGGTACGTAGGGCTTGTAACAGTGAGTCGAATGCTCTTGGTACGAAGAAGCTGCGACAGATGGTTCTTAAATCGAACGCGTTTCGAATATTGGCCATTTTGCACACAAATAGATGGTGTGGCTACCTGGCTGCACACTGTGACCTTATCACCTGGATCAGGTAGACTGCGTGCTCGCTTTCGCTCATTTTCGATTGGGCGTATCTGACGAACCATGGACCGCAGCCTCCTCGGAAAAGAACATTCGACTCAGCGCCCCAAACTCTATGGGTCCTGAAATTAAAAAAAAATTCAGCAGACTTCCCCTCTAATACGTAAGGCAGAACTTATTACAGTCCTTGATTAGAAGTTGACATATTCTTGTACGAATCCGGTGTCTTTTGTGAAAAGTGTATGCAAGCCTTTTAAAAAGCATCTCCCACCAGGCATTCGATCGAATCTTTCATGGCGTGGAGATTTGTTACGGCGTGAACCGATGCTTGGCGTGTAGAATTTGCTTTTTGATGTGTTCTTTGGAAGATGCAGTCTTAAAAATGGTGTGGATGTCTTTGTTTCTGTCCTTCTGCTGTCCTCGTAGAAAGAATAATATAGACGTGTAGAAAATGTAGGAGAGCGATGACATCAGAAGGACACTCTCAGGTTCAGGGTACCTGTACTGCCCCAATAAAGTGGGTCAGATCCCAAAACGAGGTTGGCCGAAGCAAAAAAAATAGAAGAGCCTGCCTTGAACTGAATATGAGGAGGAAGAAGAAGAAGACAAAGAAAGAGAAAGAGTAGGAATTTGTTTGTGTAAACTTTGTTTCCTCTGTCTAGGCTGCCACCGCATTATAGCAGCCAACAGTGTGTGTGTGTGTGTGTGTGTGTGTGTGTGTGTGTGTGCGCGTGCGTGCGTGCGTGCGTGCGTGCGTGCGTGTGTGTGTGCATATGTGTGTGTGTTTGCGTTTGTGTGCACACGCTTGTGTGTGTTTGCATGTGTGTATATTCTGCTAATCTTGACTTAAATTTCCACATCTGGGCATATTGTGTTCTGTATGTGAATTTATCTTCATCAACTTGTGCGCTACGTTCCTTTCTTCACGTTACGGCACTTTAGTATTGTTTTACTTGAACATCATACTCTCGCCCAACTTTGTTTCACCAACAAAGGTTTATTCTCCAAAGTATTTCTAATTGATTGTGTATGAGTTTCATACTACTGTCAGGGGCGTCGGAATGTTTTTTAGTGTGGTACGGTCAGCCATCTGAAGTACAATTGACTCGTGGGGGAGTGTTGGCTGAGCCGAAAATTTTGGAATTTTAGATCCCAGATCAGTGTATTTTGTTGACTCACGGGTATCTGGGGCAAAAAGTGGTACGGTCAATACCGTAGTGACCGTACCGTGTGCGACGCCCCTGACTGTTGGAATCCACCAGCTGTGTTTCCTTGAGGGGCGTATCCTTACCTGGGATGTGTTTCTCATTCCCGGCAGCAGAAAGAGCTCTACAATATGTATATAATTTAAGAATAGAATTTGATGTACAGGAGAGTGCCGATTATCCCCACCCCTCGGGACGCGGGCTGTCTCCAGGGGGTTCAGATGAGAAGAATGTTCGGATAAGAGAGCAGTCACACATCTATCTAAATCATGCATATTCCAGCATGTTTTCATCATTTTCGTTCTCTTCAGCAGTGAAACAGGAACTAGGTGCACTCATGCTCCTCTAAATTAATGACACTATTATTACACATTTTGACTAAAACCTGTTTTAATACATCTTGTGAATCGCTTCAATGGTGCCCCGAGCGACGAAAATCAACAACTTGAAACTCATCTTCTACCCCTCAATTAAATGCAAGCAATTATTTTGGATAATTAATCATTTGGATAGTTGACATTGGAGGATAATCGGCACATTGTGTGTGATGGGGGGGGGGGGGGAGGGAGGAAGAGGAGGAGGATGCGAGAGGCCGTGGTGGACGTGTACTTGTGCAGAGCCTGGAAATAGCCTCACTTTAGATGTATGCACATTCAAACGGTGGATGCTTCCCGCCATCCTTTTCCCCCTCTTTTTCCTTTTCCCGCCATTCTTTACCCCCTCTTTTTCAATTTCCCGCTCTTCTTTTCCCCCTCTTTTTCCCCCTTTTTCTCCCCTTTTCCCCCTTTTCTGCGAGAAGATTAGCCCCCTCCTTGCGCAAGGTTGACGGGCCCGTCTTCCCCCCAGATGAAACAGATGAAACAAGATGAAACGAGATGAAACGAGATGAAACAAGATGAAACGCCAAGTACGGGCGCAGATGGGGCCGAGATGAAACGAAATGAAACAAAATGAAACAAAATGAAACAAAATGAAACAAGATGAAACAAGATGAAACCAAAATGAAACTCGAAGTACGGGCGTAGATGGGCCGCGAATGAAACAAGATGAAACAAGATGAAACAATGTATGGGCGTAGATGGGGCGCACGCGACCATGTACCACGCGTGCACGAGCGAAAAGAACTGAATCCAATCATTGAAATAATTTTGTTTGCAGAGGCAATTCGCGCAAGGGAGGGATAGCAATTTGATGGCTTGCGAGTGACAGCACGAGCCGAATTTATTGCCCGTGGAAGTACCCACGATAGAAATACACTGTTGGGAACATGGTGGCGCCGCTGACGGTACCTATGTAAGTGGAGTTACTTTATTGGAAGTACCCACGACGGGGAAAATAGTCTCTCTAGTATTGTCGGTGAATGGCGATGGTGGTGGTGGCGATGGCTACTTTCCTCTGCTCAGAGAGAACCCCTGCATGTCCTTCGTCGTGATGCGAAAGAGCAGTGGATGCAGGTAAAGGCCGTGTCAGAGAATTTCGCCTAGTGCTGTGGCCAGGGTGAAAATAAATTAGGGCTGAAACGATCATTCAATAACTCCAAGCGATCAACCAATCTCTTTAGCGATGAATATCATTGTAACATAGAAAAATGTGGGCACAAGTTATGCAATCGAGTCCTCCAACTAAACCAGATTTCGAATAGTCAGACGTGCACAAGGCTAGCACAAAACTGACAAGGAGTATGAGTACTGAGACATTGAGATCAATTATAATTGTTGGTTCATAATTATAGATTCTTTCCGGCTGTAGTCGTGCACCTCGAACACAAGACTATGAAGAAATTCCATGATGCCTTTGCTACATTAGCTGTGGCCACCAGTCAAACACTCTAAATATACCCAGGCTACCGCTCAGTGTTTGGTATTCTGTAAACATTTCAAGCAATTGTGTCGACACCTGTAGACATCTGACTGGTCTAAAGCCTAGTTCACATTCGACGTAACACTGACGGTACAGGACGTAAGGGCCTGTCGGGACGGCTGGGGTGAGCTGTAAAATCTTTTACGATTCGTACGACACGACATGCTGCAGTCGTTGCGATGTTCTCCAGCGAACGGCGCGAGTCATAAGGCACAGTCCGTGACGGGGTGACTTTCGGACCTAATTTCTTGTTTTTCGGGACTTCTTTTCAATTATTTCTCCTTGAATGAAGCGAAATCAAATTCACAATACCAGTTTTTCGTGGAGACAAAAAGTAGCCCTGAAAGTTGTGCCATTCGAATAGTAGCCCTAGGAAATGATAAAACAGTTCATCTGTCATTCTCCTAAACTATCCCTAAATACCATAAGTGACATGAGATCTTATCTTGCTAAAATTCAACTCAAGTCGTGTTAGCCATTCTGCGAGTTATCATGGGAAGCGCAGTGTTCGAAATCCTAAAAATGTCCTAGTACGAATCGGGGGTGGATGGCGCACGATGCCGCCTCCTGTTCTCACTCAAAATGCAGCCGTTTTGTACGCTTGCGTCTCCGTCTATGCCCGTCTACGGTATGAAAAGTTGAACTGATCCAACACTTCCCGTCGCTTCCCGATCCGTACGGTAGTATGGTTGCGTTCCCGTTCCTGGTGTTCACATTGGACGCCGTCAGACCGTCCTGTCGCTTCCCATCGATCCTTACGCCGCGTCCCGTCGAATTTGAACTAGGCTTTATCAATATGAACTAGAGGAGTTCATGTTGTTGTTTCTAGAACGAAGAATCAGGCTTGTCGTCACCCTTTGGCTTGAAGCTCTTATCACCAACTTCCGCAACGAATCAATCGAAAAGATACCGTCTTGACTCCCGATCTCTTTCATAGCCACGCATCAATATTACTGCGCTTGAAAGTACACGATTGCACTCGTATCCACAATTGGATGGAGTGCAAGGGCTAGAATACTGCCACTGGTATGCATGCATAAAAAATCGTTTGCATTCGCTTTGAACACTAACGATTATCGATTGCGCTCTTAAAACGATCGGTTTGCGAGTTATCTGTATACTTGTTTCAGCCCTAAATGCATTGCCCTCGTAGAGGACAGGGATGTGAGTACTGATGTGCCTTTCGTCCTCATATTTTACAGAGAAGACGTCTGCCCCCAATAATAAAATTAATGTAGTAATGATAATGTGTTGCCCTTTCATCTTCTCAGGAGCCCTGTGCTTTTGCCTCTTCTCCCCTGGACTGAATGGACTGGACGCTCTGTCCAGTAGTGTCCAGTAAATGATTTGTAGTGTAAGTTAGGGTGCACTCTCTCTTGAGGATTTGCCCACCTTGATGATTGTGCTCTTCGTGTTATTAGAAAATGTCTCTACCTGCCAGGATGGTATAAGAGCACGAACTGAATCACCTGTTGGTGCAGAAGGCTTGGAGGACTACTTTTGAAACAGTTGTTCAAATTTCCTGCACCTCTTTGTAGCCGTTGTCTGATTTCTGCATTCTGGGGAGACTGAAGTTAAGGTTAGTGAAGCTGCACAGTCCCCGTGGAAATGTTTATGCTGCAACTATTTACTGCTGACATGTATTTATGTATTTCAGGAATCTCCAGAGGGTGAAGGCTTGCTGCAAGCTCCGTCCCTTCAATGTCGTGATACATCCGTAGATCAGTCGTGTGCCTGTCCTGTGCTTTTATGAGCATGCTCCTTTGCACATGCCTTTGTCCTGTGCATGCGCGGGCGTGGGCGCGCGCGTGTGTGTGTGTGTGTGTGTACGCCAACGACACCGTCCGTGCACATGTGCATGGACGTGAGTTTGTGCGTTTGCCTTTGTTATATGCATACAGTATTATCAATTTATCATGCCTATACAAGCCTTGCCAGTGTCTCGATAGGAGAAGCAGATACATGATTACACCACTTGGGTTTTGACCTTCTTTGGCCGGGGCGAATGTCGAAGGAAAGACTCCCTCTGGGCCAAGGTGTTGGCGACAGTTGAGAGTTGTCCTCTATTTTGCAGCGGGGGACAGCATGGCATATTTGGTGCCGGAAAGAGTGCAGTTGCACTTTTCATGTTACTGTAAAATTTGCTAGGTCACTCCCTTGAAGCTGGAGACTGCTGATACTGCTGCTCAAACGGCTGCTGCTGTTACTCTCTGCTGCTACCATGGTCGTTGCTTTGTATCAATGGCGAAAATTCTCAGATGAGCTTTGGGTCCGGGCACTAGAACCCTGCTGCTGCCTCTGCAGCAGTTGTAGAAAGTTTTATAATACCAGTGTCGATGGTGAACTTCTGCTCTTTTTTTTATCCCAGACACTTTGTGCTCAAGAGACTGTTAGGTCTTTGTGGTGTTGTCGTTGCTGTTTGGTTATACTAGTTGGCGTCTGTTTGGAAATATATTGTGCTTTTCTGTGTGTTCATGTGAACGTAGAAGCCCTCACCGAAACCAACACTACGTTGCTGTGTTGTTTTCTTCCAAGGTCGGGCACAGTAAAGGAGACGACTCTGTGAGTATATTCGCAGATGAACTTTGGGTTAACAGAATGCAGGTGCTGCTGCTCTTGTGCCGGGCTGTTGGTGTCAATGATGGGGTGGATCATGCTTTCTCTTTATATACCTTTTGTATATTTGTGTGTAAGTAGGAGCACATACCAACACGTAATCTTTCTAAAGCCTAGTTCTCTTTCGACGCAACGCTGACGGTACGGGACGTAAGGGCCTGTGACGGCTGGGGTGAGCTGTAAAATCTTGTACAATTCGTACGACACGACATGCTCCAGTCTTTGCGATGTTCAACAGCGAATGGTGCGAGTCATAAGGCACAGTCCGTGACGGGGTGACCGTCCCGGCGTTTCCCGTCGATCCTTATGTCGCGTCCCGTTGCGCCCCGTCGAATGTGAACTGGGCTTAACAATGGCATGGAGACAGTTTCAATTGCAGTTTAATGTTACTGCACTGCACTGCAGGTATCAAGGCACTACCCAGAGGGAGGATGTTGGCCTTCTCCTGATGGGAAAATGTCTTCTTTCTCATGGCGTGGCCAGGACTGCACTGACCCTACCATCCACTCTACCTCTCCGGAAAGGGACTTGACAACCAGTCAAGATGGATGTGCAGAGATATACCAGCGGTAAGTCACATGCTTAGGATATCCACTTGATGAAGGAAGGACAGGTGCTCAACTACTACACCAAAATGTGAGCATAAGGAGATGGGCTGATGGGTCATGGATGGGTGACAGGTCTTTGCCCGGTTGCTGGAGTATAACAACCTGGGTCTTTGATTGGTTTAGAAGCGGTCCGCTCTATTCGGGGTGCCATCCTCAATTAGACGGGCAGTGAAGATCTTGCAGGATCAATCGCACATGTAGAATATGGACATGTGGATGCGGGCAGCAGATCTGTAATTTCCAGTATCAAAGTTCAGTTGTATTTGCTTTTCTTTATTTTCTATTTGTGATGTTGTTCACTGCAGCTTCTAGCATTAACTGCCAATTTGCACTGACGCAGCAAGACTCCCAACAGTCAAGTATGTTTCATTGCATGCACTAGGATTACAGTAGAATGCCGATTATCCGAATGTCAACTGTCCAAACGGTCAATTATCCGAAATTCCTGTTTGCACTGAATTCAATTCAATAAGTCGACTTATACCGGTAAAATATGGTAACAGCGGGACTGTAGGGTGTGGCATTTCCATGATACAGTGGAAAATTTCACGATTTTTGGTGCAAACATAGCTCGGACGCTGCTCGATTGGATATACAATGCAGGTTCTTGGAACCACGGACACGACTCTTCGATTCAAGGATCACAACACTTCGGGATCTGAACGTTTTAGGTCCGGGAGCTGTTCGCGGTTTTGTCGCTTGTCACGGTTGTGGACTCATCGTTGTAGCATAAATGAGGCTGGACTATTCCAAGCGAAAAACTAAAATATTTCCTTCTCAAAGCACAATCACCGGCCCGGAGGAGCACACCTTCTCTAACTACATACCGGGTGCAGTACATGACACGTCCGTGTATTGACTAGTCTCTTGTACATTAATTTTAGATCTACCACACGACTCGCGTAGCGCTAGCACAGCAGTGCGGGTGTAGTCATGTACTACTACTACTACAGTACTGCCGGGCGCCGAAGAACGGACCGCCGATGAACGGCCAGGCTATGATTTCGCTATTTTTTAAGAACGGTCTAGGTAGAAACGTAATGTACAATATGAATATGATGTACACTCAGACGTATAACTCTGCATAAATGTACATGTAAGACTGTACCATCGAATATGAACGAAACTGCTGTGTTCGCCAAAAATAAGAACGGGCTAGGCTAGAACCCTGACCCCGTTCTTCGGTGCCCAGCAGTACTGTAGTGTAGTGTTCCGTATGTTTGTTGACTATGGCATGCACGCAGAAGCCAGCGGATGTAAAAAGTCCAACTCGGAAACGGCTAAAAACGGGGTATCCTCAAATTTTGCCGAGCTGAAAATCACAGGGTACGTAGGGCTTGTAACAGTGAGTCGAATGCTCTTGGTACGAAGAAGCTGCGACAGATGGTTCTCAAATCGAACGCGTTTCGAATATTGGCCATTTTGCACACAAATAGATGGTGTGGCTACCTGGCTGCACACTGTGACCTTATCACCTGGATCAGGTAGACTGCGTGCTCGCTTTCGCTCATTTTCGATTGGGCGTATCTGACGAACCATGGACCGCAGCCTCCTCGGAAAAGAACATTCGACTCAGCGCCCCAAACTCTATGGGTCCTGAAATTAAAAAAATTCAGCAGACTTCCCCTCTAATACGTAAGGCAGAACTTATTACAGTCCTTGATTAGAAGTTGACATATTCTTGTACGAATCCGGTATCTTTTGTGAAAAATGTATGCAAGCCTTTTAAAAAGCATCTCCCACCAGGCATTCGATCGAATTTTTCATGGCGTGGAGATTTGTTACGGCGTGAACCGATGCTTGGCGTGTAGAATTTGCTTTTTGATGTGTTCTTTGGAAGATGCAGTCTTAAAAATGGTGTGGATGTCTTTGTTTCTGTCCTTCTGCTGTCCTCGTAGAAAGAATAATATAGACGTGCAGAAAATGTAGGAGGGGCGATGACATCAGAAGGACACTCTCAGGTTCAGGGTACCTGTACTGCCCCAATAAAGTGGGTCAGATCCCAAAACGAGGTTGGCCGAAGCAAAAAAAATAGAAGAGCCTGCCTTGAACTGAATATGAGGAAGAAGAAGAAGAAGACGAAGAAAGAGAAAGAGTAGGAATTTGTTTGTGTAAACTTTGTTTCCTCTGTCTAGGCTGCCATCGCATTATAGCAGCCAACAGTGTGTGTGTGTGTGTGTGTGTGTGTGTGTGTGTGTGTGTGTGTGTGTGTGTGTGTGTGTGTGTGTGTGTGTGTGTGTGTGTGTGTGTGTGTGTGTGTGTGTGTGTGTGTGTGTGTGTGTGTGTGCATATGTGTGTGTGTGTTTGCGTTTGTGTGCACACGCTTGTGTGTGTGTTTGCATGTGTGTATATTCTGCTAATCTTGACTTAAATTTCCACATCTGGGCAGATTGTGTTCTGTATGTGAATTTATCTTCATTAACTTGTGCGCTACGTTCCTTTCTTCACGTTACGGCACTTTAGTATTGTTTTACTTGAACATCATACTCTCGCCCAACTTTGTTTCACCAACAAAGGTTTATTCTCCAAAGTATTTCTAATTGATTGTGTATGAGTTTCATACTACTGTCAGGGGCGTCGGAAGGTATCTTAGTGTGGTACGGTCAGCCATCTGAAGTACAAGTTACTCGTGGGGGAGTGGTGTCTGATACGAAAATTTTGGAATTTTATACCCCAGATCAGTGTATTTTGTTGACTCACGGGTATCTGGGGCAAAAAGTGGTACGGTAAATACCGTAGTGACCGTACCGTGTGCGACGCCCCTGACTGTTGGAATCCACCAGCTGTGTTTCCTTGAGGGGCGTATCCTTACCTGGGATGTGTTTTCTCATTCCCGGCAGCAGAAAGAGCTCTACAATATGTATATAAAAGAATAGAATTAGATGTACAGGAGAGTGCCGATTATCCCCACCCCTCGGGACGCGGGCTGTCTCCAGAGGGTTCAGATGAGAAGAATGTTCGGATAAGAGAGCAGTCACACATCTATCTAAATCATGCATATTCCAGCATGTTTTCATCATTTTCATTCTCTTCAGCAGTGCAACAGGAACTAGGTGCACTCGTGCTCCTCTAAATTAATGACACTATTATTACACATTTTGACTCAAACCTGTTGTAATACATCCTGTGAATCGCTTCAATGGTGCCTCGAGCGACGAAAATCAACAACTTGAAACTCATCTTCTACCCCTCAATTAAAATGCAAGCAATTATTTTGGATAATTAATCACTTGGATAGTTGACATTAGGATAATCGGCACATTGTGTGTGATGGGGGGAGGGGGGGGGGGGGGAGGGAGGAAGAGGAGGAGGCTGCGAGAGGCCGTGGTGGATGTGTACTTGTGCAGAGCCTGGAAATAGCCTCACTTTAGATGTATGCACATTCAAACGGTGGATTCTTCCCGCCATCCTTTTCCCCCTCTTTTTCCTTTTCCCGCCATTCTTTACCCCCTCTTTTTCAATTTCCCGCTCTTCTTTTCCCCCTCTTTTTCCCCCTTTTTCTCCCCTTTTCCCCCTTTTCTGTGAGAAGATTAGCCCCCTCCATATTGTAGAGCTCTTTCTGCTGCCGGGAATGAGAAAACACATCCCAGGTAAGGATACGCCCCTCAAGGAAACACAGCTGGTGGATTCCAACAGTCAGGGGCGTCGCACACGGTACGGTCACTACGGTATTTACCGTACCACTTTTTGCCCCAGATACCCGTGAGTCAACAAAATACACTGATCTGGGGTATAAAATTCCAAAATTTTCGTATCAGACACCACTCCCCCACGAGTCAATTGTACTTCAGATGGCTGACCGTACCACACTAAGATACCTTCCGACGCCCCTGACAGTAGTATGAAACGCATACACAATCAATTAGAAATACTTTGGAGAATAAACCTTTGTTGGTGAAACAAAGTTGGGCGAGAGTATGATGTTCAAGTAAAACAATACTAAAGTGCCGTAACGTGAAGAAAGGAACGTAGCGCACAAGTTAATGAAGATAAATTCACATACAGAACACAATCTGCCCAGATGTGGAAATTTAAGTCAAGATTAGCAGAATATACACACATGCAAACACACACACAAGCGTGTGCACACAAACGCAAACACACACACACATATGCACACACACACACACACACACACACACACACACACACACACACACACACACACACACACACACACACACACACACACACACACACACACACACACACACACACTGTTGGCTGCTATAATGCGATGGCAGCCTAGACAGAGGAAACAAAGTTTACACAAACAAATTCCTACTCTTTCTCTTTCTTCGTCTTCTTCTTCTTCTTCCTCATATTCAGTTCAAGGCAGGCTCTTCTATTTTTTTTGCTTCGGCCAACCTCGTTTTGGGATCTGACCCACTTTATTGGGGCAGTACAGGTACCCTGAACCTGAGAGTGTCCTTCTGATGTCATCGCCCCTCCTACATTTTCTGCACGTCTATATTATTCTTTCTACGAGGACAGCAGAAGGACAGAAACAAAGACATCCACACCATTTTTAAGACTGCATCTTCCAAAGAACACATCAAAAAGCAAATTCTACACGCCAAGCATCGGTTCACGCCGTAACAAATCTCCACGCCATGAAAAATTCGATCGAATGCCTGGTGGGAGATGCTTTTTAAAAGGCTTGCATACATTTTTCACAAAAGATACCGGATTCGTACAAGAATATGTCAACTTCTAATCAAGGACTGTAATAAGTTCTGCCTTACGTATTAGAGGGGAAGTCTGCTGAATTTTTTTAATTTCAGGACCCATAGAGTTTGGGGCGCTGAGTCGAATGTTCTTTTCCGAGGAGGCTGCGGTCCATGGTTCGTCAGATACGCCCAATCGAAAATGAGCGAAAGCGAGCACGCAGTCTACCTGATCCAGGTGATAAGGTCACAGTGTGCAGCCAGGTAGCCACACCATCTATTTGTGTGCAAAATGGCCAATATTCGAAACGCGTTCGATTTGAGAACCATCTGTCGCAGCTTCTTCGTACCAAGAGCATTCGACTCACTGTTACAAGCCCTACGTACCCTGTGATTTTCAGCTCGGCAAAATTTGAGGATACCCCGTTTTTAGCCGTTTCCGAGTTGGACTTTTTACATCCGCTGGCTTCTGCGTGCATGCCATAGTCAACAAACATACGGAACACTACACTACAGTACTGCTGGGCACCGAAGAACGGGGTCAGGGTTCTAGCCTAGCCCGTTCTTATTTTTGGCGAACACAGCAGTTTCGTTCATATTCGATGGTACAGTCTTACATGTACATTTATGCAGAGTTATACGTCTGAGTGTACATCATATTCATATTGTACATTACGTTTCTACCTAGACCGTTCTTAAAAAATAGCGAAATCATAGCCTGGCCGTTCATCGGCGGTCCGTTCTTCGGCGCCCGGCAGTACTGTAGTAGTAGTAGTACATGACTACACCCGCACTGCTGTGCTAGCGCTACGCGAGTCGTGTGGTAGATCTAAATGTACAAGAGACTAGTCAATACACGGACGTGTCATGTACTGCACCCGGTATGTAGTTAGAGAAGGTGTGCTCCTCCGGGCCGGTGATTGCGCTTTGAGAAAGAAATATTTTAGTTTTCCGCTTGGAATAGTCCAGCCTCATTTATGCTACAACGACGAGTCCACAACCGTGACAAGCGACAAAACCGCGAACAGCTCCCGGACCTAAAATGTTCAGATCCCGAAGTGTTGTGATCCTTGAATCGAAGAGTCGTGTCCGTGGTTCCAAGAACCTGCATTGTATATCCAATCGAGCAGCGTACGAGCTATGTTTGCACCAAAAATCGTGAAATTTTCCACTGTATCATGGAAATGCCACACCCTACAGTCCCGCTGTTACCATATTTTACCGGTATACGTCGACTTATTGAATTGAATTCAGTGCAAACAGGAATTTCGGATAATTGACCGTTTGGACAGTTGACATTCGGATAATCGGCATTCTACTGTAATCCTAGTGCATGCAATGAAACATACTTGACTGTTGGGAGTCTTGCTGCGTCAGTGCAAATTGGCAGTTAATGCTAGAAGCTGCAGTGAACAACATCACAAATAGAAAATAAAGAAAAGCAAATACAACTGAACTTTGATACTGGAAATTACAGATCTGCTGCCCGCATCCACATGTCCATATTCTACATGTGCGATTGATCCTGCAAGATCTTCACTGCCCGTCTAATTGAGGATGGCACCCCGAATAGAGCGGACCGCTTCTAAACCAATCAAAGACCCAGGTTGTTATACTCCAGCAACCGGGCAAAGACCTGTCACCCATCCATGACCCATCAGCCCATCTCCTTATGCTCACATTTTGGTGTAGTAGTTGAGCACCTGTCCTTCCTTCATCAAGTGGATATCCTAAGCATGTGACTTACCGCTGGTATATCTCTGCACTTCCATCTTGACTGGTTGTCAAGTCCCTTTCCAGAGAGGTAGAGTGGATGGTAGGGTCAGTGCAGTCCTGGCCACGCCATGAGAAAGAAGACATTTTCCCATCAGGAGAAGGCCAACATCCTCCCTCTGGGTAGTGCCTTGATACCTGCAGGGCAGTGCAGTAACATTAAACTGCAATTGAAACTGTCTCCATGCCATTGTTAAGCCCAGTTCACATTCGACGGGGCGCAACGGGACGCGACATAAGGATCGACGGGAAACGCCGGGACGGTCACCCCGTCACGGACTGTGCCTTATGACTCGCACCATTCGCTGTTGAACATCGCAAAGACTGGAGCATGTCGTATCGTACGAATTGTACAAGATTTTACAGCTCACCCCAGCCGTCACAGGCCCTTACGTCCCGTACCGTCAGCGTTGCGTCGAAAGAGAACTAGGCTTTAGAAAGATTACGTGTTGGTATGTGCTCCTACTTACACACAAATATACAAAAGGTATATAAAGAGAAAGCATGATCCACCCCATCATTGACACCAACAGCCCGGCACAAGAGCAGCAGCACCTGCATTCTATTAACCCAAAGTTCATCTGCGAATATACTCACAGAGTCGTCTCCTTTACTGTGCCCGATCTTGGAAGAAAACAACACAGCAACGTAGTGTTGGTTTCGGTGAGGGCTTCTACGTTCACATGAACACACAGAAAAGCACAATATATTTCCAAACAGACGCCAACTAGTATAACCAAACAGCAACGACAACACCACAAAGACCTAACAGTCTCTTGAGCACAAAGTGTCTGGGATAAAAAAAAGAGCAGAAGTTCACCATCGACACTGGTATTATAAAACTTTCTACAACTGCTGCAGAGGCAGCAGCAGGGTTCTAGTGCCCGGACCCAAAGCTCATCTGAGAATTTTCACCATTGATACAAAGCAACGACCATGGTAGCAGCAGAGAGTAACAGCAGCAGCATCCGTTTGAGCAGCAGTATCAGCAGTCTCCAGCTTCAAGGGAGTGACCTAGCAAATTTTACAGTAACGTGAAAGGTGCAACTGCACTCTTTCCGGCACCAAATATGCCACGCTGTCCCCCGCTGCAAAATAGAGGACAACTCTCAACTGTCGCCAACACCTTGGCCCAGAGGGAGTCTTTCCTTGGACGTTCGCCCCAGCCAAAGAAGGTCAAAACCCAAGTGGTGTAATCATGTATCTGCTTCTCCTATCGAGACACTGGCAAGGCTTGTATAGGCATGATAAATTGATAATACTGTATGCATATAACAAAGGCAAACGCACAAACTCACGTCCATGCACATGTGCACGGACGGTGTTGTTGGCGTACACACACATACACACACACACACACACACACACACACACACACACACACACACACGCGCGCCCATGCCCGCGCATGCACAGGACAAAGGCATGTGCAAAGGAGCATGCTCACAAAAGCACAGGACACGCACACGACTGATCTACGGATGTATCACGACATTGAAGGGACGGAGCTTGCAGCAAGCCTTCACCCTCTGGAGATTCCTGAAATACATAAATACATGTCAGCAGTAAATAGTTGCAGCATAAACATTTCCACGGGGACTGTGCAGCTTCACTAACCTTAACTTCAGTCTTCCCAGAATGCAGCAATCAGACAACGGCTACGAAGAGGTGCAGGAAATTTGAACAACTGTTTCAAAAGCAGTCCTCCAAGCCTTCTGCACCAACAGGTGATTCAGTTCGTGCTCTTATACCATCCTGGCAGGTAGAGACATTTTCTAATAACACGGAGAGCACAATCATCAAGGTGGGCAAATCCTCAAGAGAGAGAGTGCACCCTAACTTACACTACAAATCGTTTACTGGACAGAGCGTCCAGTCCATTCAGTCCAGGGGAGAAGAGGCAAAGGCATAGGGCTCCTGAGAAGATGAAAGGGCAACACATTATCATTACTACATTAATTTTATTATAGGGGGCAGACGTCTTCTCTGTAAAATATGAGGACGAAAGGCACATCAGTACTCACATCCCTGCTCATATCATTGCTCATCCATGTCCTCTACGAGGGCAACGCATTTAGGGCTGAAACAAGTATACAGATAACTCGCAAACTGATCGTTTTAAGAGCGCAATCGATAATCGTTAGTGTTCAAAGCGAATGCAAACGATTTTTTATGCATGCATACCAGTGGCAGTATTCTAGCCCTTGCACTCCATCCAATTGTGGATACGAGTGCAATCGTGTACTTTCAAGCGCAGAAATATTGATGCGTGGCTATGAAAGAGATCGGGAGTCAAGACTGTATCTTTTCGATTGATTCGTTGCGGAAGTTGGTGATAAGAGCTTCAAGCCAAAGGGTGACGACAAGCCTGATTCTTCGTTCTAGAAACAACATGAACTCCTCTAGTTCATATTGATAAAGCCTAGTTCACATTCGACGGGACGCGGCGTAAGGATCGATGGGAAGCGACAGGACGGTCTGACGGCGTCCAATGTGAACACCAGGAACGGGAACGCAACCATACTACCGTACGGATCGGGAAGCGACGGGAAGTCTTGGATTAGTTCAACTTTTCATACCGTAGACGGGCATAGACGGAGACGCAAGCGTACAAAACGGTTGCATTTTGAGTGTGAACAGGAGGCGGCGGCGTGCGCCGTCCACTCCCGATTCGTACTAGGAAAATTTTAGGATTTCGAACACTGCGCTTCCCATGATAACTCGCAGAATGGCTAACACGACTTGAGTTGAATTTTAGCAAGATAAGATCTCATGTCACTTATGGTATTTAGGGATAGTTTAGGAGAATGACAGATGAACTGTTTTATCATTTCCTAGGGCTACTATTCGAATGGCACAACTTTCAGGGCTACTTTTTGTCTCCATGAAAAACTGGTATTGTGAACTTGATTTCGCTTCATTCAAGGAGAAATAATTGAAAAGAAGTCCCGAAAAACAAGAAATTAGGTCCGAAAGTCACCCCGTCACGGACTGTGCCTTATGACTCGCGCCGTTCGCTGGAGAACATCGCAACGACTGCAGCATGTCGTGTCGTACGAATCGTAAAAGATTTTACAGCTCACCCCAGCCGTCCCGACAGGCCCTTATGTCCTGTACCGTCAGTGTTACGTCGAATGTGAACTAGGCTTTAGACCAGTCAGATGCCTACAGGTGTCGACACAATTGCCTGAAATGTTTACAGAATACCAAACACTGAGCAGTAGCCTGGGTATATTTAGAGTGTTTGACTGGTGGCCACAGCTAATGTAGCATACTCCTTGTCAGGTTCGTGCTAGATTGTGCACGTCTGACTATTCGAAATCTGGTTTAGTTGGTGGACTCGATTGCATAACTTGTGCCCACATTTTTCTATGTTACAATGATATTCATCGCTAAAGAGATTGGTTGATCGCTTGGAGTTATTGAATGATCGTTTCAGCCCTAATTTATTTTCACCCTGGCCACAGCACTAGGCGAAATTCTCTGACACGGCCTTTACCTGCATCCACTGCTCTTTCGCATCACGACGAAGGACATGCAGGGGTTCTCTCTGAGCAGAGGAAAGTAGCCATCGCCACCACCACCATCACCATTCACCGACAATACTAGAGAGACTATTTTCCCCGTCGTGGGTACTTCCAATAAAGTAATTCCACTTACATAGGTACCGTCAGCGGCGCCATTATGTTCCCAACAGTGTATTCCTATCGTGGGTACTTCCACGGGCAATAAATTCGGCTCGTGCTGTCACTCGCAAGCCATCAAATTTCTATACCTCCCTTGTGCGAATTGCCTCTGCAAACAAAACTATTTCAATGATTGGATTAATTCAGTTCTTTTCGCTCGTGCACGTCACGCCGGGTGCACTGCGCGCGGCCCATCTCCGCCCGTACATTGTTTCATCTTGTTTCATCTTGTTTCATCTTGTTTCATTCGCGGCCCATCTACGCCCGTACTTCGAGTTTCATTTGGTTTCATCTTGTTTCATCTTGTTTCATCTTGTTTCATTTTGTTTCATTTCGTTTCATCTCGGCCCCATCTGCGCCCGTACATTGGCGTTTCATCTTGTTTCATCTTGTTTCATCTCGTTTCATCTCGTTTCATCTTGTTTCATCTGTTTCATCTGGGGGGAAGACGGGCCCGTCAACCTTGCGCGCATAGTATAGCCTATGCTAGTATAGTATAGTCTATGCTAGTATAGTATAGCCTATGCTAGTATAGTATAGCCTATGCTAGTATAGTATAGCCTATGCTAGTATAGTATAGCCTATGCTAGTATAGTATAGCCTATGCTAGTATAGTATAGCCTATGCTAGTATAGTATAGCCTATGCTAGTATAGTATAGCCTATGCTAGTATAGTATAGCCTATGCTAGTATAGTATAGCCTATGCTAGTATAGTATAGCCTATGCTAGTATAGTATAGCCTATGCTAGTATAGTATAGCCTATGCTAGTATAGTATAGCCTATGCTAGTATAGTATAGCCTATGCTAGTATAGTATAGCCTATGCTAGTATAGTATAGCCTATGCTAGTATAGTATAGCCTATGCTAGTATAGTATAGCCTATGCCAGTATAGTATAGCCTATACTTAGTATGCCTTGCATTCATGCCAGCAATGCTTGACAGGTAGATTTCCTACATTGACATTGTACTTGTCGCACGGTCCGTGCAGCCAGCATGTCTTGGGCAGGAGCCTGTACAGCTGTGCATGTGTGATTTTACGGTACATGTACTCTATGTACTAGTAGTCTGTACTATGGCATAGCGGATGCAGCCTGGGCGGCGCTACGTGTAGCTGTCAAGTAACAACACAGTTAGTTAGTTGGCGCATGCATGACACCTATTACGGAGGATTAGCAAGACGAAATTCGCGTTCGCGTTCGCTCTCCAAAGAAAGTCGAACTCAGTGACGGAATTCGCGTTATGAGAAGGATTAGCAAACAGAATTCGCACATGCATGATGTTGACACGACGTAGGCAGTACAGCGTGGTAAATTTATGACTGCCCTGACACGAATCCACGATTCGTGTTCCGACTACTTTTCCCGGAACGAAAAATGCGAAAGTTCGCAATCCAGTTCGCGAACTGAAAAATGTTTGCGAACGCGAACGCGAATTTCGTCTTGCTAATCCTCCGTACTATCTCAAAACTAGTACTAGTACTACACTGAGTCACTGTGTTCACTACTAAGTCTTCTTTGCGTAGCACGCAAAGAGTCGTGAAAACCTGAATGATAAACCCGTACCCATACAAAATGAGCCGAGCATACAGTATGATACTGTATGTAGGTCCTTCTACTTTTTGAGCCGCATGCACTCTGCTTAGCGCTAGCGCTGTCGACTCCGTCAGTGCAGTAGCTGCAGTGTCAATACAGAATGAAATAATTATTAATAATATTATTTGATTTTACCCTTCGCCACGGAGTTGCAAAGCGCTGTGTACGTGTATGCATCGTTGTTGGTTCGTCCGCACCTCCGATCAGGGATTAGCCCTACCATACTGATAGCTTGTCACACAGCTCTCAGTTTGTTGCAGAACGAGAGTGTAGGGTCGGGACAGCTCGTTTGTTCGGACACGCGCATCAGCATGCCCTTTGGAGACTACAACTGATTCGATCGGTGTTGGCAGAGTGTTCTAGGCGATGCAGTCAGCCAGCGGTATAGCCAGCGGTCTTGTAACATATTGAGCGGAGAATTGCACCATTGGGAGAAGCCATAAAGTTAGTTTTGCAGCTGGCAGGTGCGCGGTAGTGACCCGCTCGGGAACAACGCACCGTGGTCTCCACCTTCTTCGTGATCCACATACTGTTGACGAGGTATGGTCCGAATTTGCGTGTTTTATAATAATAATAATAATAATTCCATTCAAATCATGAGATCGGAGTTTATCATTCCGGCTCGGTCTCCCATTTCTCCAGGATCGAACAATACTGTGCACGATCCAGGCAGAGTGTGAATAATTTTGAAGGGGATGAAATGAAACGTTGGCCAGCTTGTCTACAGCAGCGGTGGTTAGTTTATCTATCCCACAAAGTGCATGGTCTGTTGTCCGCGCCATGCACGCTAAAACAATACAAGCATTAGCAGTTGCATGGCTTGTACATGTAAATATTTACATGTTTGAAGGATCTGAGTTGTCATGTAGCGCCATCGCACAGCTGTCACCGAGGAGCAGGCTCGGCTGGATGTTGCGGCTAGTGGTGTGTGGGGTGGCCGATTCGAGCGCATCTGTATTGATGTACGGGTGTTCAACCCTTTTGCGTCTTCGAATTGTACCGGAAGTACAAAGAGCGAGTACTCGAAGTCATGACCAAAGTCATGCCTCCTTCGTGCCCGTTGTGCTTTCTGCCTCTGGTGGCTATGGCAAGCATGCCAATGCGCTTTTCTCGCGGGTCGACTCTCTCCTGGCTGAGAAGAGCAAGGAACCATACGTGCAGATTATCTTCTTGCTGCGCTGCCGCCTTGGGTTTGCCCTGGTTCGTTGTGGTGCCATGTGCCTGCGTGGCTCAAGGAGCATGTTTGCTCCTGCCGTGCCTGAGTCCCCTGCAGTGCTGGTGGTGGCTGAGGCAGGCATCCAGTGAACCTGCAGTGATCCTACTGAGTCCGTATAATCATTACTATATCCGATGATTCGTTTTCTGTAATTGTGTTCATGCTTCACAAAATTAATGTGTTATTTTGCCCGTACAAGAGGCTCAAGGAGCTCATTCCTAAAAAAATTGTCATGTAGTAAGAATGTTGGCATCAAGACCAGCCCAATTCGAAAATTGCATTGCTATAAAAAAATTCAGGGGTGAAACGATTACACTTTTCAACTATCGGTCAACCTACCCTTGTATCAATTCGACTATCGATTATTAGCGCTGAAACAATTATATCGGTTATCCGTCTAATCGATCATTACGACGAAGCGATTTCGATTATGCTGTCTGTTTCGATTACACGATTCTAAAGATAAAAAAATCAAATAAATAAATAAAAATTGTCATGTACTGTCGCGGACATGGAAATCCAGTCGATTGACCAAGGCCGGCGCCTCAGCGCGTACAGAACGAAACGTCGCTGCAGGCAGTGCACATGGTCCGATGCGACCAGCGCGCTGCAGCGCATAAATGAATGTGTGAACGGACTCACGGCTGCATGGCCAGCACCCTGGGGCCGCTAGACGTGCGACCGGATTTCCATGTCCACGACAGTACATGTCCACCTGTATCTTCAGTAGTAGGATACAATAATTTTTTTTACGTACATTTTAGATCAACAGTGCATGTACACATGCACAATATACGTTGTCCTTTTCCTCTTCTTTTGTTGTTATGCACATGCTTTCAAGTCTAGTAGGGCTGTGTATAGTAAAAAAATAAATAATAATAAACTGACTTTCTGCACCCGCACATTTCTAGGACGCAGTAATCGATATAGATACAGCTCTAGACTTCTGTCCTTTCCTCCCTCCCTTTCTCCCGACACCTTTCACCATTACTGCTAGCCTACACGCATACACACATTTTTAGCTCCTATTTTCCACACTCTTCTCATCGCCTTCCTACAGCACCACACTGCATATCTACTTGTTTCAGTTTTTGTTGGCATTAGTTGAATGTTTTCACCCTGAGGATGGGCCACACCCGAAAATTTGGTGAATTCAGTTCTTTATTTATCTTGAAGTGACCTGTGCAACGAAGAGATCGTATTTGGAAAGTTCAAGTTGAGGTACCCAATTCTAAAAGTGGTCAATTAAGTTAAGTTAAGGGATGTAGCGGGTTTTATGTTTCGTTACATTGTCTGTTGGTTGCCTTGTTGCTTTCTCTCCCCTCTCCTCTCACCCAAGCCATTCTGCATAAGCGAAGCTGTGGACGCAGCATACTGCTGCTACACTTCAACGCGGGAACGCGTATAATAATAATAATAATAATAATAATATTAATAATAATGTAGCGGGTTTTGCGTTCCAGCTCTTCACATGTACAGTAATGACCATGATGAGCTCGTGAATTTATCTATCTACATGTGTTCAACAAATACCACATCTGCTGACCTGACAATTGACTACCAATAATGACACTGGTAGGTTGGGTGAGAGCCAGTCATGGCAGAATCAAAAGGCCTCACAAACCATGGCAAGCGAGAGAGAGAAAGAAAGAATATAGAGAACAAGATCAATCAGAAAATGGCGCCGTCACAAGGAGCAATTGCGCGCTTTTTCCAGCTAACGCACAAAACAGCAGTGAATTTGAAAATGAAACTGCCTTGGTTATTGGGTCCTCAGAGCACAGAGGCTGGTAGGAAGCAGTTGTAACATATTGTATGTCTCCTGGTCTTCTGACTGCCATATTTCCCGCTGTCATGGTGTTTCTAGATCCGTGGGAATTGCACCATTGGCAAGTGGCTGATTGTCGCGTCAGATGTCGGGTCGGTAAGCTTTCGGTATGTTCATCAGTGATTTAGTTCAAACTCCACATGCGCATTGTACACCAATTGTATGGCCTTCAAATTATCACTCATATTGCTAAGAGTCCACGTACGTCGTGCGCATACGCCGTTGCACCATGCATTTTTCAGGTACTGTAGGCCCGCAGCCACGCCCCAAAGATAACTTTTTTTCGATTCTTGATTTTCCTACTGCAATGCATACCTGAAATCCTAGAGCGCACAACTGCTATGTCGTGATTCTAGTCATGTACGACGAAACATCGATGCACATGTAAAACTTGCGTGGTGGCCCCCGTTCTTGTACCTTGTCTGAAGGTGTTTCAGTGAGAATTTTTGGCGATGTTTTGTCTTGACGAATACCTTAAAAAAAGGGTTTCTCGACCAAACGGTCATAGTGGGTGAATGGGGACGACCCAGGGATAAACGGAGCCAACTTGGAGAGAAAATATAATTTTTGCCATGTCCGGTAATGCTGGTAGTGTATTGATGTTGTTCAAAATTGCACAGCTGTTTCCTACCAGAATCATGTCAGTCCCAAAAAATGGGAAGGATTGAAACACTTTGTAGAAAAGAAAAAAGGACCAAGGGACTACAAGTTGCTCTTCAGGTACTCCCTCTTTGTAACGAGTCCGGGTGGTACATAAACCCCATTAGTAAATATAAATCTGAAAGTACGAGCTGAAAGTCTCAGCTGTGAAGGACGTTGGCGATGTTCATGCATGTCAATGACTATACTGGCAAGACCATTGGACAATGTTATCATTATAACTTAGAACCTTCCAAGTTGAACGGCTGTTGGAGTGCGCATCCAAGATGTGTTGGAGCTGTTAGGCAGTTAGTTGTAGAACGCCAGTACAGTCGGTCAGTGTCGTGCAATGTTATCGCATGAGCTGATTGTTTAGTAACTGGTGGTGTTAGTGGACATTATGGTGTGACTTGTAGTTCCTTGGTCCTTTTTCTTTTCAATAAAATTTTCCTTCGCTTTTCATCCGAGTCCATTATTGAAACACACCTTCATAGTTAAACCCTTATTTGAAATTGGACTCGGATGGAGAGCCAAGGGCTAATATATAAAAAATAAAAAAGGACCAAGGAACTACAAAGTTTCGGATAGCACCAGAAACTCCTGGGTGATCGTTCTCGATTCCCTCCTGGTGTATTGAAATCGATGCAGTCACTGTTTCCTGGGTAGAATTTCAGCAAACACACCATCCAGAAACTCGTTCAGCAGCACAAGCGTCGTGTCATCCAGTTCGTGGGAACGTCGGGTGAAAACTCCTACAGCCACCGTTCTGGTAGATGCACTGCGCGCGGGAGATGCAAAGGCGATCGTCAAAACCGGGCCTATTGGATTGAAAACATCAAGGAAGGGCAGCGTAGCTTGAAGGAGACAACAGAACTGTGGGTGTTTTGCAGGGTGGCGCCATTGCCGATGCGCCCGGAGACACCAGCCCAGCGATGGAAACTAGAAGGTCCGCCCAAGAGATGATACAGTAGTTATCTATATACCGTTTCTTGGTTGATTTTTTAGTTCTAGTGCTCATTTGTACAAATCTTGAGTTTTGAAGTGAAGCGCACATTTTAATAAGTCGGACCAAGTAGATGATAAATCAAAATAAAATCAACGACCCATCAGCATAGATAAATAGTTAAGCAATGCTGTAGACAGCAAGCTGTTTCGGCCATAAAAGGCCTCACCAGCACAGCTACGAGCACCACAGACATTACGAGGGCACATCTGATTATTACTATTAGTGGTGTGCACGGGTAGTCGGGTACCCGTGCTACCCGTGAGGACCTCGGGTAGACGGGTACTGAATCGTACCCGAAAACCCGAAGTCGCAGATGACATCATGTAGAAAGAGTAGAGAGAGGTCTACAGTGCACGTGTGCAAATAATTCTTGCATGTCTACCCAGTGTGTAAGGGAAGGGGCCGGTGTGCATTGTGGTCTTACCATGGGAACATTACCCGATCGGGTACCCGTGCTACCCGTGGAAAACTACCCGGACCCGATACCCGAAGAAAATGCTACCCGACTCAGCCCTAATTATTATACTTTTTTTAGGAATGAGTTTGCTCCCACACCGGAGCTCACGCTATTCCGCCCACTTGACTTGACACTTGACTGACTCACGACTGCCATGCAGAGCACACGAGAAATCCATCGAATCTTCGACTCGGCAAACCTGCAAGAAAGCACCACTCCCTGCTCAGTACGCAGTGTTTCGGGGAATTCACCCCTCATCAGTTGAGCTTGAGTAGGCTGAGGAAGATTGTGCCTGAAGAGCACCACTTGTATAGTGCTCTCCAGGCACAAACATCACCAGGGATACAAACTTACAGAAACGCTTCGTTTCCAGTGCGACAAACACCGCGTGAACACCTGATAACAGCGTGAGTCAGTGTCGCTCCTGGACGGTGAGAACAGACTCAGAGGACCCTGGGCCATTCACAACGCTGTCACCTCTAAACCAGCTAGTCACCAGCCTGCGCTATGCACAACAGAAGGAAATAGTGGTTGAGACTTCGGCGATGATTAATGGTGCTCTTCAGGCACAATCTTCCTCAGCCTACTCAAGCTCAACTGATGAGGGGTGAATTCCCCGAAACACTGTGTATTGAGCAGAGAGTGGTGCTTTCTTGCAGGTTTGCCGAGTCGAAGATTCGATGGATTTCTCGTGTGCTCTGGATGGCAGTCGTGAGTCAGTCAAGTGTCAAGTCAAGTCGGCGGAATAGAGCGAGCTTCAGTGTGGGAGGAAACTCATTCCTAAAAAAATCATCGCCGAAGTGGCAACCACTATTTCGTTCTATCATTATGCTTGTTCCTTTTACCATCACCAAGCCAGCTGGGCTAGCCTTCGCATAAGCCAAATGAACAAAAGAAAAGAGGAACGAGCGAAGCCAATGAGGAGCACACACGCATGCAACTGCAGGATAGGCAAAAGGGAATGAATAAGACAATCCTAAGAACACACTAAATGTCAGCTATTTACTTCAATAAATATAACTGGAAGCGGCTAACTACAAAAATGTAAACTATTTACTTAAACAAATAACACAGGAAAAGGATGAATATAGAATCATTACAGCTGACGGTATATACATGTAGTAGCGAAGTGACCTAATAGTAATACAAGTATACATGATAATAACTACAGCCGCGAACCACGTAGTGGGGGGGGGGGGGGGGCATTTTAGAGGTAGCTCGTCGCTCTATCGCCAGAGTGCTCAAACTACGAAAAGTAGCCGGCAATATATGCTTTAAAAGGAACATTGATCTGTTTTGTTCAGGCTCACAGAATGGAATCTTTCCAAGATGAGCTTGTGGACCTGTGCGTACAGGACAAGGCTGAGGAGATCAAGGCCAAGCTTTTTGTGAACGGCCAGGTTATCGCACTTGCTGCCAATAGATACCATCGAAGTCCCAGAGTGTCACTTCTGGTGAGTATGAAGTATATTCTGTAAATCCGTCCGCAGCCGGCACATTTGCATTTCCTTTCTCACATGCATTTCTTTTTCTATTGGCAAGAAAGCCAGAGAGCGCATTTGGTGAAGGTGGAATTGCTTTACTGATAAACAGCCCGAAACCTGCTGCTTACCAAGAAAGGACAAATATATAACATTTACTGCCAAAGTATTCCGTCTGAAGTAGTGTTCAACGGAATACGAGTATGAGGTATGCTATATTCGTTCTCACGAATGAGACGGATCATCTCTCACTTCAACCAGACATGTGCTGAGACTGTCGTCATGGACATATGTTGGGGCTGGTGTGGTTAGGTCTGGTTTTGCACCTTTGAGTGTGTGTGTGTGTGTGTGAGAGAGAGAGAGAGAGAGTGTGTGTTTGTGTGTGTATGTGCGTGTGTGTGTGCGTGTGTGTGTGTGTGTGTGTGTGTGTGTGTGTGTGTGTGTGCATGTGTGTGTGTGAGTGAGTGTGTGAGAGAGAGTGAGAGTGTGTGTGTGTGGGGGGGGGGGGGGAGAGGGCCTGTGTGTATGGGGGTTGGGGTGATATCTATGTACCTCTCTATCTCTCTATCTATCTATCTGTGTATCATTATACCTATCTATCTATCTATATATGTAGGACTCAGTATAGAGTCCATGCACTATATGATGTCCAGCACCCTATATAGAGTCCATTGGTCCAAAATCCACTATACAGAGTCTAGGAGTCCACTCAGTTTTGATCATCTTCATCCTGCCGCGCAATCCCCTATAAGGAGTACACTTTTTCTACAAGCCCCCTATTCACGGTCCAGGAGTCCAGTTTATCCAGTCACGCCGTCCTGTACTGCTGTGTGTTGTGCCAAAAAGAGAACAAACACCTTTTCAGTTTTGCTTGCCTCGTGGCAGCGCATTCCTTTCTTCACTTCAGCCATGGCTGCCAGTTCTGCTGTGCAGTTGCTGACAGTAATCTGTCTCGAGGTAACCAAGGAGGATAAGGAGACGTTCAAAATCAAATCTGGAAAGCGTCTTGTGGTTCTCTGAAGACGTTTCCTCAGTGCGCGGGATGAAAGCAGAAATTGCAGAACGAGAAAAGTTCAGCACAGTTCAAATCTGACGAGTCAGGTACACGACACTCTCTTTCGTTCGACGCCACAAGGATCCCCTGTTTGGCTGGCCATTGCTGCCAGTAAGACGTTTGAACGGTTTCATCAGAGCAAGGGATGAAAGCAGAAAGCGGAGAACGAGAAAAGTTCAGCACAGTTCCAATCTGACGAGTCAGATACACTGACACTCTCTTTCGTCCGTCGCCACAAGAGCTGCCTGTACCACCGTGTCAAAAGGCTGTCCAACTACATGGCAGGACGATGACTGAGGTAAGGAAGCTTTTACTCGTTTCGATTGGTCTGCTGTTCTGTCGTTATGCTTGATTTTTTTCCATTTTCAAGGATCGTATCGCGTTTGTTTGATGTTGCTTGAATGAATGCCCTAAAAATAATCAACAACTTCGTAATACTAGTAGTCCTCAAGGACTACAAGGACTTTGCATCAATCGTATACGATCGTCTAGCTATCATCAATTATTAATTTATTTCATGAGAAATGTATTTTTATCCCTATGATAATTATATGGACTCCACTCTTCCTCTACTAGGCTCTAGTATGATTTCAAATACAATGGGAACCAGAAGCGCAGTGCCAGTGTACTAGTAGTAGTAGTAGGAGGAGGATTCTTTGTATGCCGATGACAAGAAAAAGCTTCTCAAGCTAATACATGTACTCGTATTCCATGAAGTAACCGTTTTGATGTCACAAACATGACACTGTGTAAGTGAAACTGCCTCGTGACAACAAATCATTGCATTTCCATCTTGGGGAAGACTGACTGACGGCAACGCCGTACAGATTGTTCAAATCATCTCATTTCACTTTAGTTGCAGTGAAGTGAAACACCGTGTACACTACATGTATGTTGGTGTGTCTGTGCGTCTTGAGTGTGCACAAACGATCTTACTCCTCGTATTACTAATAGATTATTGTCCCCACCGTCACCTGTTCACAGGTCTTTGAGTGGATGGATTTTCATTGAGCATCACATTCGTTGAGAATTTGGTAGTTGTGTGCTCCTATGCATCATTACGGTAATAAGCGTATCCTTGTGCTATCTATTTGTTGCAGGTGTGCTGATCTTCAGAAGCTTGCGGAACTGAGTCCTGCTGAACACTTGCATGGCCATGAGCAATGGTGAAGCTTGCTACTGCACTCTCAGCATGTGCTAGTATTATGCTGACTACTGCACTGCGTTACTCTCTTACACTACTACATGTACATGTATGTAAACGTGCGTGCATCCGCCCACGTATGCATTCGTTTCGTAAAATTATTTATCGCTCTTGACTTTACGTGTAAATGGGTGGGCGTTTGCATGGCTGTTGGAGTTGCGTGTGTATTGTGTCTCTTCTCTTTTCTTGGTGTTTTCTTGGCGTTGTATAAGTGTGTGTGTGTGTGTGTGTGTGTGTGTGTGTGTGTGTGTGTGTGTGTGTGTGTGTGTGTGTGTGTGTGTGCGCGCGCGCTCGCACAATCTTTTGAAAACAAATAATTAATCCTTGTTAATGCGATTAATAGTATAAGTGAAGCGGACATTACAAAATGATGAATGAGAATACATGTATCTAATATGGTTGTTCCTAATCGATTTTCTTGAGACTATCATCAGGGAAAATCGTCTCACAATTAGTGGTCAAACGAATGCTGAGAAGCTTCGAACGTTCGTTCTCGAGTCGACATTCGAATGCCAAGTTGACCGCCCAAACGAATATCGTAACTCACAAAACTGTGAACTCTGCACTTGTAAAGTTGTAGCAGCGATTTTCATGCATGCAAGCACGTACACACGTCTACTTTTGAAGCCGTGCCGCGCTGTCTTCATGACCAGAGACTACGGTAGGTCTAGTCTGCGCAGTGAACTCTAGTCTGGGTTGAACGTTGCATGCGTGCACCGCGCCCGGCTGTGAAACTGGAAGTGCAGTGCCACAGGCGATTTTAGTCGTGACAACACTCGACGGTCTGTCTGAAATAATAACTAGTGCTGAGAGCCGTCGTTGAGTCTTTCTTCATCAAATCCACCCAACGTTCGTCATGGCCGAGAACAGTAGGCGCTCTGCCGTATGGGATTTTGGAATAGAGAACGGCTGACAATATTATCTATATTCTCACGACAATATTGCTACGTGTACTCGGTGCAAGCCGCCGAAAGACTTGGCAGATCATGGCGGAACAACGAATTTACGTAACCATCTGAAGGACGTTCACTATGTCGACTTGGATGGCGCAGGGGCGATACCGAAAAAGGACGGAGGGATAACTGCCTTCTTCAACGCAAAGAAAGTGCCAGCGGCTAGATCCTCTGAGGCTCTGGATGCGACGACCGATTGGTGGAATTTGTGTGCAGAGATCTTCGGCCTGTGAACGTAGTCACTGGTGCGGGGGTTCCTTTCGCTCATGAACTACCCCGAGCCTGGCTACCTGCAACTCAAGTGACAAAGCTAATTCAGCGGAAGCACGTCGCGGGCCTGAAGTTGCTGGTGCAGTGGTTAGGTGGAGAACCTTGAAAAGGCCAGCTCCATGGCGCTGACTACAGACCTGTGGACAAGCAGACGAACGGAGGGGTACATTACCATCACTGTCCACTTCATAAATGAGTCATGGCATCTACAGTCTCTGTTGCAGACTTGCAGTGTGCAACTTCACTTATGATTTGGGTGCCTTTTACAAAAGTTTTAGTGTTACATACTGGTTGGTAGCTATAATTTCTTACTGATTTCATGGAACGGGCGACATTCGTTCGGCATTCGTTAGGAACATTCAGAGAAGGTTCGATTCGCTGTTTAGCACATTCGTTTGACCACTACTCACAATAGAGGCTATACGGAGAAACAAACTACTTATAGGTTATCGGATAGTGGGAAGTATACAAGGTGAGGTGTGAAAAAACACCAAAGTGGGAGAGAAGACGAAAGAAATTAGAAGAAAAGATGTGAGAGTGTTCTGACGGTGTGAGCTACTACAAAAGGTGAGTGAAATGAAGGCGTGGAAGCAGGTGAATGTGATAGAGTGAGGAACTGTGAGGCGTAGGTGTATGCGAATGAATACGTGTGTGAATGCTAGGTGAAGAGTCTCAGTTTTGTGACATTTTCTTTCTGAATGCATAGATTAGGATTGTGTTTACGGATGAAAACAGCTTCTAATACCTTAAGTTCACGAAACCTACGAGCACGACACAAAACAGTGAAGCATGAATCATCATACACTGAGCGGCATTGGCTACTAGACAAGAGGTGTTTCTTAATTGCTGACCCTTTTCCCTTTCGACCAGTAACAAGGAGCATGACTCGTGCGCTGGTAATGGCATCTACAACCGGACATGGACTGGCAGCGAGCAGTAGCGTGGGATTGTCGTTGGGTGCAGAGGACGGGATGGAAGAGGAAGAGGATGAGGAAGGTGAGAGCAGTGATGAAGAGAGTGAGTTGGACAACCAAGATGAAGATGACCGGACTGAAGGTGAGACCACAACGAAAGGGTCAGCAATTAAGAAACACCTCTTGTCTAGTAGCCAATGCCGCTCAGTGTATGATGATTCATGCTTCACTGTTTTGTGTCGTGCTCGTAGGTTTCGTGAACTTAAGGTATTAGAAGCTGTTTTCATCCGTAAACACAATCCTAATCTATGCATTCAGAAAGAAAATGTCACAAAACTGAGACTCTTCACCTAGCATTCACACACGTATTCATTCGCATACACCTACGCCTCACAGTTCCTCACTCTATCACATTCACCTGCTTCCACGCCTTCATTTCACTCACCTTTTGTAGTAGCTCACACCGTCAGAACACTCTCACATCTTTTCTTCTAATTTCTTTCGTCTTCTCTCCCACTTTGGTGTTTTTTCACACCTCACCTTGTATACTTCCCACTATCCGATAACCTATAAGTAGTTTGTTTCTCCGTATAGCCTCCCTCTATTGTGAGACGATTTTCCCTGATGATAGTCTCAAGAAAATCGATTAGGAACAACCATATTAGATACATGTATTCTCATTCATCATTTTGTAATGTCCGCTTCACTTATACTATTAATCGCATTAATAAAGTTATTGTCTCCTCGTCGCCTTTTCAATTAATCCTTGGCTCTCCATTATTCTCTTTCGATTCTGGTTTTTTTTCTAGGTATTTTCTTGGCGTTGTGTGGGTGGGTGTATGTGTGTGTGCGTGCACAATAATTTGGCAACACTACATGATTAAGATAATTGTAATTTGCAGCGTCTGCGAAGAGACCACTTGATTTGCGGATGGTGTTTGTAGGGTTTTTCATGTAATGAAGGGGCTGCAGTGGCGCCTCAATCCTTATTTTTTATCTTGAGAAGTGAATGATGTAAATGATTAAAAGTAGAGGCCGTTTTCTGGACAATATTCACAGCTTACAGCAGATCCTATGTCTAATTTCGAACTCTGGATAGGGGATGCCTAATTGGCTGGACTTTACACAGGGAGTGTTGTCCACATAAAGACTCTTTATAGTTGATTTCAAAGTTTGGACTCCGTACAGTTGATTTTGGACCAATGGTTACTATATAGGGGTGAAGCCAATTTGCTGGACTCTATACAGGGAGTGATGTCCATCTAAACTTTGAGCTCACAGTTGATTCCAAGTTTGGACTCTGTACAGTGGATTTTGGACCAATGGACTCTATATAGGGGTTGGACATCATATAGGGGCTGGACGCTCTACTGAGTCCAACATATATCTATCTACTTCCTCTGGAAACAAAAACTTCTTGACTTTTTCATTGATTTTTGCTTCTGTTCTGTCGCTCTCTGTGTGGCTATGTCGGCCTGAAACACCAACAGATGACATTTTGGAACAGTAGGAAGGAATGATTCACATTATGGAAATTCGACAGCCATCGCAAGGCAAGGGTTTCGTGCTGTAAACCAAGTGAAGCGACGATGTTTTTGCATTCTTGTCCACCAGGCACATTGCCAACAAAATCGCTGCGCTCGCTGCTCGTCGTTGCTCATTTTTCAGAATGAGAGAGAGCAGGACAATGGCACTGAGGAGTAAGAAGAGTATGAAAGGGATAGCAGCCAGCGTTTTGAAATCTCTGGCATCCCCAAAAACACCAGCCAAAGTGCGAATAGGTCGGCATGATGTCAAACTCCAAAAGGCAAAGATGTAACACCCGTCACTTCGTGCAGCACAGCAAAGCTAGAAAGTTCAAAATCAAAGTTGTCGTTCAGCCCCCGCGGAGACCATACCTCAGCGTGGAAGATCTTGCCTTTTTCAGCAGCCTCCACACAGATGTCTCCTTGGTTGCATAGGAGAACAGGCAAGATCTCCTCCCAACAGTCGTGAAGTGATGGGACGACTACGATTCGGAGAAAATGTGAAATGTTTGGCTTTGCCTGTGCGTGTCGTTCCGGCATCCTCGAGAGCGGACACGATAATGAGTCTCCACCTACATGCTAGGGAAGGTACTGGTATAAATCACGTACCGGTACTAATAGTGACAGCGAAGACGATCAGAGGCGCGGAGAAGCTGCTCCGTGACATGCGAAAGCGAGTCGATCGACCGGCCACTTCAGTTGGTTCCAGCAGTGATGAATCAATTGATGGCGACTCAGACTGAGATTCTATTCCCATCAATCAATCTTGTAGATATTGTACACATGTCTATTGAGCGTGTTGAAGTGTTTCCTTTCCAATAGAACACTTTTGTCAAGCACAGTAACTCCTTGAAAAGTCATGTGAAAAAGTCACGAAGTTTTTGTTTCCGGAGGAAGTACAAAGGAGTAATTTTGGCAATTGCCGGCAACCTACCTACCCACCTACCTATCTGCCTGTCTGTCTGCCTGCCTGCCTGCCTGCCTGCCTCCCTCCCTCCCCCTCCCTCCCTCCCTCCATCCATCCCTCCAGCCATCCATCCACCCATCCCTCCATCCATTAATCCATTAATCCATCCATCTTTCTATCCTTCTTTGTACACGGAAAAGAGAAATAGGCCCAGTTTGGATTTGTCGTGACTCAAAGTTTCATGCCACTGCAATCATCAGACGACTGATAATAAACACCTAAGACTAATCATTATGAATCAGATCATGCGTGATACTTGGCGCTTAGATTCTCATTACTCTGCGCGACACACGAATGAAGGCCATTATCACACAGATGTTATGGATGATGTAAGGGATAAGTGATGGCATAATGTTGGCACTGACGTATGCTAAACCAGGCATGGTTCTGATGGTTATTAAGTATAATATTAGCACTGATATTTGCCAAAACCAGTCATGACGGTGCCGGGTACTGTCCTTGCACTGCAGTTGCGACTGGCTGCTGCTTGTTCTACTATGTCATGCTAGGTGTGAAGTTTTGTATGTAAGAATTGATTTCATGGCGGCATTTTTGACACTAGTTCGTTTCTTCTGTTTAGTCTCTTTGGGTTGTTGACATTGTTCAATATTGTAAGCTTCTCGATTCTGCGTAGTTGCACCTTTTTGACTTGTTGGAGTACGCCTGTGTCCTTGTGTGAATATGCCACCGAACAGAGAATGGCGTCCCCGCACGCTTCAGGTTCCACACATGGTTTGACAGTTCAGTCTTGGTCTGATACCGTTCGTGACGGAACCTCATTGTATGATTATTGTGCAGGTCCTTGAAGGGAGGCTCGGTCAGTTCAATGTACTCTTTGTCGTCATTTACTGTTGCTTGATACACTATTGATCTCGACAGGCAATCACCATCAAGGAGGCACTGTGCGGCATTACGGCAGTTACATGTTTTGGCAGGGGGTTGTTGCTGGCTTGTAGTCGCTGTGAGAACTGGTTTGTTATTGGTTTTGATAATGATTTGTATATTTTGCTTGCAGCTATAGCTAACCTTGACTGTGTTCCTGTTGAATATTTTATTGAGTGGTGAGCCTTTTGGGAAGTGTTTGTCAATAAGGTGTAAGAATTTTCCGGCCACATTTGTTTGTACGTTTTTGCTGAATGGAGGGTTGAACCACGTGACGTTGCGCTGATGGTTTCTCCTCATCTTCTTCTGCCCTCCTTTCCGTTTGCTTTTGTATTCCACCTCCTCGTCATATCCACTGGCATGGTGGGCCTCATTGTAGAGAGGGGCGGCCTGATGAAATGTCTCCTCGTCATGTGATATGTCTGTCACCCAGCTACTTATAGCAGCAGGGAGTTGATCTATGATGTTGGCCGTATGATTGGACTTGGAGTGAATGTATACAGGGTTATCATTGGGCTTTCTGCATGGGTAGTGTTGACCAGTATTCAAGTTGAGAGTCACATCCAGATAGTTGACTATCTTCCAGTTTGTCTCGATTGTAATACGGGGCCCAACTCGTTTAATGTTTGAATCATCCTTTTCCTAGAGCGAGCGGCCTCACTTCCGGTATTGCTGTGCAATACTACAAGTCCGTCGTCACGATACAGGCCGATATTCTCTTTCTTCAAATCCTGCGTCAGCTTGTATAACGCGAAAGTGAAAATTAGCTCGCACACCTCTGCACCATCAAAACATCCCATCGTATGATCTGATTAATAATGATTAGTCTTAGGTTTCTATAATCAGTCGTCTGATGATTGCAATGGCATGAAACTTTGAGCCACGAAAAATCCAAACTGGACCTATTTCTCTTTTCCGTGTGAAACGCTCTGCACTTTTTGCATTGAGCACTTTGCCCGCAATTGCGAAACTTATTCCTTTGTATCCTTCTATCTATGTATCTATCACGCGCTCACTCTTTCATGTGCATGTGCGTATGCATTTCCCCTCTCATTTCTTTAGGAGCAAAGAAAATGTTATTGTCAATAGACGCAAAGTAATCTCTCCCTTGGGCTTTAATCACTGCAGGCTTATCTGGGCTGGACAGCAGTTCAACAGGATTCGCGAGGCGTCCTACAATTTCTCCTCAAAATCGTTCCCGGTGATGTCTTCATTCAGCCTTTTGGCTTAAAGGTAACAAATACAACCATTGATAATATTTTTTCACTCAATCTGCGAACAGAATTGTTTCGTCCTTTGTGGACTCATCAGCGCAGCACAGAGAAAATGAAGCTAAACCTGATAGCAATGACAAATAAAATTTCCAAAGCCAGATTAAAAGGGGGAGTTAAGCCTAAAATCAAATGTTCACCAGTTGTAGAATTCGGGGTGCTGAGTCGAATGGTCTTGGTCCGAGGAAGCTGAGACGCTCCCTTCCTCCTTTATTCCCAATCGAACTCGCCGCTTCCACCGAAACTGGGTGACTGTGCCCTACTAGATGGGGATTTGTATGCAAAATGTCACTAAAAGCGCCATTTCGTTCTTATGAAAGCACGGTTGACCGCGATTGGCCCATGTGGTGTAGTCTTTTGGATGCTGAGTTGACTGATTTTGGTCCGAGATTGATTGGGTTGGATTGGTTTATTTAACGTCGAATAACAAACAGGCAGTGTTGCCTTATTACATGAGATCGACTAAAGTTACAGGCACACAAATGTAAGGAAAATATTAAAAGAAAAAAGACAAAATAGAGTAGGATTTAAAACCGAAGAGGAAAGATTGCATAATTATTTGATCAATGAGCAACGTTAGTCAGTGAATTTTCAGGTGGGGTAAGAGAGCGGTCCGGAATTGACCTGGCTTCTTCAGTGATCGTATAGATGCAGGCAACTTATTCCAGAGAGCGGGACATTGATATGAAGGGCTGTGTGTGGCGGCGGCAGATATGATTTTCGGGGAAAGAAGCAGGGGAACATCTGTGCTCCTCGTTCGACGGGTGTGTGACAGAGGTGTAACGAGGTCATGAAGAAGCACACTACAGTTATTATGAATTACACGAAAGGTTAGCAGGAGGAGTTTGCGGCAATACATTGATTGCAGGCGTACAAAAAGAGGGGCAGTTGCAGACAGGAAGGGAGCAGAGCAGACAACACGCACAGCTCGCTTGAGAAGTTTCTCAAGACTGTCACGTTGTGCAGAGGAAAGGGAAGGGGAAAAGCTGTTGAATACGTATTGAAATGTGGGTAAAATTATACATCTCAAGTAGGTTGAGCGGCATGGCATTGGGAGGCACTGCCTGTGGCGGAAGAGAATGGCAATCGTTGAGGACACTGTCTTGGCTATATGGTCGACCATTGTGTTCCATTTCAGGTCGTCATCGATGCGCAAGCCCAGGTACTTGGCGCTTGCCACTTGCTGGAGGAATGTAGTTGCACAGTGCCCATTCAATGTCTTGTCGTCATGACGATTGGCAGGAATAAACAATATTTGTGTTTTCGACTATTCAGGATTAGGTTGCGCTCACCAAGCCAGTTGGTGAGATTGGTGATGGCTGAAGACAGGTTGTGTGACAGCACTACCTTGTCCTTCCTGCTTTCGTGTAGCATGATGTCGTCCGCGAATTGGGTTACCTGGATGGATCCACTTCACTGGCCACATCCCTGACATATATCACAAACAATAGTGGTCCCAGTACAGACCCTTGGGGAACCCCACTTGAGCATGTGAAAGATGAGCTGCTATCGCCGCTGATGACGACTTGTTGACGATTTGAGAGGTAGTCGCTTCGCCAGTTCAGGGCTGTGCCGGAGATTCCAAGCTGGAATAAGTCTTCGACAAGTGTCTGATGCTGGACTTTGTCAAAGGCCAAAGCGACTAATCAAATCGTCAACAACAAGTCGTCATCAGCGGCGATAGCAGCTCATCTTTCACATGCTCAAGTGGGGTTCCCCAAGGGTCTGTACTGGGACCACTATTGTTTGTGATATATGTCAGGGATGTGGCCAGTGAAGTGGATCAGTTTGCCATCCAGGTAACCCAATTCGCGGATGACATCATGCTACACGATAACAGGAAGGACAAGGTAGTGCTGTCACACAACCTGTCTTCAGCCATCACCCATCTCAGCAACTGGCTTGGTGAGCGCAACCTAATCCTGAATAGTCGAAAAACACAAATATTGTTTATTCCTGCCAATCGTCATGACGACAAGACATTGAATGGGCACTGTGCAGCTACACTCCTCCAGCAAGTGACAAGCGCCAAGTACCTGGGCTTGCACATCGATGACGACCTGAAATGAAACACAATGGTTCACTATATAGCCAATGGCGTACTGTCCGCAAACTAGGCTCCCTCCTGGGTGACGCCGAAGATGCTGCTCGGAGGCGTCAACTGGCCGCCGCCGCCTTCAACTCACTCCTCAAGATCTGGATCCGGAGGCGCCAGATCAGTGAAGGTCTTCGGCTGAGGCTCTACAACGCCTACGTCATCCCAGTCCTTACCTACAACTGCGGCACTTGGGGCCTACCGATGTCGGAGCTCGCGCGAATGGATTCGTTCCACAGGACCCAGCTGAGGAGCATCATCGACATGCGGTACCCTAAACGAATAAGCAATGACACTCTGTATAAGCGCTGCAGAGCTGTCCCCATCAGCGAGAAGATCACAAGGCAGCGCTACAGTCTCGCTGGCCATATCTTTCGTTTGGCCCCAACTGCTCCTCCACAGTTGGCAGTGGATATGTATCTTCGCCTGGCCAACGACGAGGGCGACTTTGGTAACGGTCTTGCAGACGGAACTGTTATCATGGCATGGACTTACCCTCCACCAGCCGCTAGATGTTGACGCAGTCCGCACAATGGCAGCGGACCGACAGGCATGGCGTGGAGCCCGCCCCACCTAACAGGACTGACCAGACATGTTGTATGCATATTCTATTAAATTATTTTATACTTTGGATGAAGTTTTCCATTAGTCATATTGGTGTTGTTGCTAACGGCTTTTGTTGACGTCACTTCTGTCATTTCATTGTATCGTATTACTCTTCAGACATCAATCCTGAATGGCATAAGCGACAGTGGCACCCCCGCCACCTACGCGGACATGCTTTTAATAATAATAATAAATAGAGCCAAGACAGTGTCCTCAAAGATTGGCACTCTCTTCCGCCACAGGCAGTGCCTCCCAATGCCATGCCGCTCAACCTATTTGAGATGTATAATTTTACCCACATTCCAATACGCATGCAACAGCTTTTCCTCTTCCCTTTCCTCTGCACAACGTGATAGTCTTGAGAAACTTCTCGTGCGAGCTGTGCGTGTTGTCTGCTCTGCTCCCTTCCTGTCTGCAACTGCCCCTCTTTTTGAACGCCTCAGCATTCAACGCCTGCAATCAATGTATTGCCGCAAACTCCTCGCGCTAACCTTTCGTGTAATTCATAATAACTGTAGTGTGCTTCTTCATGACCTCGTTACACCTCTGTCACACACCCGTCGAACGAGGAGCACAGATGTTCCCCTGCTTCTTTTCCCCAGAATCATATCTGCCGCCGCCACACACAGCCCTTCATATCAATGTCCCACTCTCTGGAATAAGTTGCCTGCATCTATACAATCACTGAAGAAACCAGGTCAATTCCGGACCGCTGTCTTACCCCACCTGAAAATTCACTGACTGACGTTGCTCACTGATCAAATACTTATGCAATCTTTCCTCTTCGGTTTTAAATCCTACTCTATTTTTCTTTTTCTTTTAATCTTTTCCTTACATTTGTGTGCCTGTAACTTTAGTCTATCTCATGTAATAAGGCAACGCTGCATGTTTGTTATTCGACGTTAAATAAACCGATCCAATCATTGATGCGATGCAGCGTTCGGCTTCTATTCCCAAACAAACATTGCTGAACAAGCGGTCACATGCTCCTGCATACACCAGTCACCTGGTCACCGTGCCTGCGGGGTACAACTTACAGCCTGTTTGGGTGCGTTCCTGTCACTCGAGTTGAACCTTGGTGTGGAAATTGTGCGCTTCAGGTGATTGGTGTATGCAGGAGCACGTGTATGTCAGCCGAAATTATGGGGTCCGTGTGTAGGTATTTGCACGATTCTAATAACTGCATTCTGGGGAGTGGAGGTGGAAATTACTACGCTCGACATCGTGGCTCGTGCACAGCACACTGGAGGGACATAGAGAGTTGCAGAGTGATCATAGCATTCTTGCAGCTGAATCCGCTCTATCCGCACTTTCGTTCGACAACAGCTACGATTCCGAAGTTCCGATCTCCGAATAATAGGAGAGTGATTTACACTAACTGATGTCCCTAATGTCACTAATTTTTATTACCGTAGCTATGCTGAAGATGTTACTTCAGTAACGTCTGGCGCTAGCCAGGGTCCACACAGCTTTAATTTGGTGTTTATTTTTATTTTTTTTGTGTCACGCCTGGAGCTATCCCGTATCTGTCCCGCACCGTACCATCAAACACAGCTGGCCACATACAGCTGGCCGCAATATTCAAATAGGGCTTTCAACCGCAAGATCAAAACATGAAGCAACTTGGAAGAATGAGTATGAATGCGAAGTGTATGGGGGAATGCATGTAGGGCGATAGTGCGGGTTCGAATCCCAGGTTATGCCTGAAAAAAAAGGAGAATTGAAATTTTTTATAACATCCCTATGCTTTTTTGCCTAGGCCATCAAGGTGGTGGACGGTGTCGTATTACCCTCGACCGTACCTGTCCCGTACCTGTCCAATACCGTACCGTACCGTGCCATCAAAGACGGCTGGCCACAATGCATATTCAAATAGGGCTTTCAAATGCAAGATCATAACGTGAAGCAACTTGGAAGAGTTAGTATGTATGCGAAGTGTATCGGGGGATGCATGTAGGGCGATAGTGCGGGTTCGAATCCCAGGTTATGTCTTAGAAAAAATTGGAGAAATTTATGAAAATTTATAACATCCGTATGCTTTTTTGTCTAGGTCATCAAGGCAAAAAAAGCACAGCGTAGGGCCCTGAGCTTCCAAGCTCTCTCGTTTCACTATTGCATTTTGGGGAATACATCATTTTCATCACATTGCAAGCGATTGTTGCCCATACTATCGCGAATTAGCACCTTTCCTCTCGCGGGCAATAATATGCCATATTTTCTTTCATGATTCGCGTCAGACTCGGCTAGAGGCCGAGTTTTCC